CGCAGCACAGGCGTATGGGCGCGGGAGCCTGTGGCCTGGCTGTATGTACATATGCATGTAGGTATGTCGTGCCGCGCGCTCCGCCGCCCGCGACCCATCTGCGGAGGCAAAGGGCGCGGCGGCTCCAGCCGAGCTCCTAGCTGGGTCGGTGGCTAGGCCTGTCTGCCCGCCTGCCCGCCTGCCTGCCGTCTGCTGCTCTGGCCGGCGGCCATGACACGGCCGTGCGTGGGTCATGGCTGCAGCGGGCACCGGGCGCTTGCCAGACTCCAGGAGTCCAGAGAGCGCGCATCCCGATCCAGCGACGGCCGGAAGGGCCACAGCCCACAGCCCACAGCCCACAGCCCACAGGGCCTTGTACGCTGCGCGCGCGGTTGCTCAAGGCCAGACGGCCAGATGCCGCGATGAGGCCGGCAGCCATTGGCGGGGTAGGCAGGCTGTGTGGATCGAAGCAGGGAACGGGCGATGACGAATCCCGGTCAGCGTGCACGGCGGCGGTGGGGTTCAAAATGGCGGTGAGAGGGCGCGAGGCCCTTGTCCGCGGAAGGGACGGCTTGCCCATGGCCGTGTGGCCGTGTGGCCGCGCTCCAGGATGCTTGAAGAGACGGGGGGGCGACAAGTGAAGAAGGAGGTCGGCTGGCAGCGCTAGAAAATTGCTTGAGAAACAGATGGGTTGCACCGAGCCCGAGACCTGGAGCGCGAGGTGAGATGACAAGCAGCCCGAGCCTGGCGCCAACACCTCCTCACCTTTGCCCGTCTGGGAGGGCGAACCGCCGTGCCGGGCCCGCACGGCCAATCCGCGCCCGGCCGGCCAGCCTGGCGCCCTGTTTCGGCTTGACCTGGCCTGCAAGGAGTGGCCGGTGTCCCCCTACCATTCCCCGTTGTGGCTTGCTATGCCCAGCAGCCGATAACGGGCTCTGGCCTGGCCTTGACGTGGCCCGCACTGATTGGAAGAGCGTCTCGTCTGGCTGTCGGGGCACTGGCTGCTGGCTGATGCTGGCTGCTGGCTGCGCGCCCGTGATTGACCTGGGGAAGAAGCGTCCCGGCTTCCGCCAGCAGCACTGTCCGCCGCATCCTTGCGACATCCGCCCGGCGCGATCCAACGCCGCGCCGTTGACTGCCCGTTTGAGGAACCGCAAGTGCTGGGTGCTGGCCGCCATGGGCGACGCTGGCGGGGCAGAGGCTGTGACAAGGGGCCGTGCAGCTAATCACACGCATATGCAGGACGGGCGGGTGCAGCTGAGACTCGGCCAATGGGATCGCCCGTGCGCCCGCAGCTGCAGGAACCATGGCCTGGCCTTGGATCAACTCTCGCGCTGCCGTCCCGACCCCGTCTGCCCGTCCACCAGAGGCGCCCCGCGAGGCTGCTTGGCTGCCTGGCGGCCTGGCTGCCGAATGCTTGACGTGCACCAGGCGCAGAGCAGCGCAGCGCAGCGCAGCGCAGAGCACGCCCGCCGCCCGCCGCCCGCCGCCCAAGCCGCGCTCGGAGAATAAGGCGCTCGCGGGCCGCGGTGCAGGGTCGGAGGAGCGTCGACGGTGGAGGGCGGCAGGGCGGGCGGAGCATCTCGTTGGCGTTCTTGGCAATGAGCGTGGCCTGGCAAGAGGCGCGCAGCCTGTTAAGCCGCACCCACGCCTCTGAATAATAAACCAACCGACCCGGGCGGCCGGTTGCGAGATGGTGAGGTGCAGGGAGGACGACGGTCAGCACTGGTAGTCTGGCACGCAGCGCTGGCAGAGCTGGTCTCGGGAACGTCACGGCCTCGTGTCCGACAAAACGTGAGGGTTCCGCGTGGGCCCTGGTGTACCGGCACTCGAAGAGCGTGTCGCGCCCACGACGCGCGTGGAGGAAGCCGGAGCGGAGGCGGACGCAGCGGCAACCATCGATGGCTCTGCGCCGGGTGGCAGGGGCGTGCTTCGTCAAGTGGGCGCAGTATTAAACGTGAGCCCATTCCTGAACCACGCGAACGCAGTGCGACCTGCCCTTGCATCTGGGACAAATCCGTTGGCTGTCGCGGGCGCTGGTGGGAGACCGTGGATCGGCATGAGTACGATACGGGACCGCTGGGCGCCACCCTTACACGCAGCTCTGCTGTCTAAGACCCTCACCCGTACGACGCGCCTGATTGCGTGCCGCTGGCGGGCTGGCGTCATGGAGGCTGTCGAGGTCGAGGCGTGTCACGGCGAGCGTGCGTGCTGGGGGGGGGGAGGGGAGGGGCGCCAATGGCGGGTGGCTGGCGTCTGGCTGGCCCGCGGCCGGCAGGCATCCTCATTCGCCGCCTCCAGCAAGCTCACCAGCGTGGTCCAAAAGCTTGAAGGAATGCGCGGCTGACGGCATCCAGCGCTCATGAGTCGAGCTCAACGCTCTCGCGGAGAAGCGTAGCCGCCACCGCGCCTCGAGGTCGCGCTTCGTATCCACGTCTCACACACGGCGGGCGATGTGTCGCGGGCGCCCACGGTACCGGGACGCAATCGTGATCTCTGCGGAGCATCATCATGGCCGTGAAGAGGCGGTACCGGTGCTGCTGTCGAGGTGGGTGGTGGGTGGCTTGAGGGCCTGCCTGCGTGCCTTGTCCCTGCCCGCACAACAGCCTGGGGAGCGCCAGCGCACACGACGCACACCGCAACACGGCGGCGAATCAGCGCGGGCGCGCCAACACCACGCCCGTGGTACAATCGGCAGCGATGCGGGCGCTGGCTGGCTGGCCGCTGGCGCTGGGGAGGCCTGAGGCGCGAGCGGGCCAGCGCTGGCACTCTGGCAGGCTCCCAGGGCGGCGGCCCCCATCTGGGTGTCGCGCTGCGATTCGCCCGGGGCGCGCCATGCCTGCGCGGTCGCACCCGGCGTGCTGCTCTGCCCATCCTCCGGCGAGCACGTTGCACCACCCCCTTCAGTCAGCAGCAGCGCCGCAGAGGGACGCGGTTTTTCCGTTGGCTGCGGGCGAGCCACGCCGCCGATCGGCCAACCCGCGCGGCGCCTCGATGGACCTGCCCTGCACAGCGTGCCGCCCGCTCGCCCCGCGCGCGCGCGCCGCCATGATCCCTGCCTCGCTGCTCGATCGGTGAGCGTTGAGCGCTTGAGGCGACCCCACCGGCGCACTGCAAATCACCCGTTGCGCGGGTTAGTCATCGCGGCGCTTGACCTGCAGAGCGATAGTCGCACATCATGGCGCCCGTCTCCCGGCTGCTCTGACCACTCGACGCCACCGTGAAGAGCGCGGCAGGGAACGCCGTCTCGGACAGGGCTGCCCTTCCGACGGCCAGGCATGCTCGGAAGCGCAGCCCCACCGCGTTGCGCTGCCGGCGCGCGTCTCAGCTTAATAAGGGAAGCCGGCGGCGCGCACTATCTCCGGGCGGCGCTGGTGGCCGGCACGCGGTGGTGTCGAGGCGCGCGCAGCTATCAGATCCCCCCCCGCCGTTCGGGGCTGCGCGCGGCTGGTGCGCGGCTGGTGCGCGGGCGGGCCGGCTGGGCGAGAGTGCGCACTGGCAGATGATTGACGGGCGGCGCTGGCGATAGGCGGTGGTGGCCTAGGAATCACGAGCGAAGGCAGAACCGGCCCTGTCTCGCCCACTCGCTTGCGTGCATTTGCGGGCCCTTGTCTGCCGCATCGCGCTGCAGCCCAGAAGCAAGCAAGCATGGGGGAAACGGCCCTCTCACGGGACCTGGTTCGCGCTCGGCCGCCACACACATCCTGCCCGCCAACTCCACCAGCCCCGAAGTGAATTTAGATTGAGCGTGCGGCGTGCGAGATCTCCACCCGCAGCTCCTGCCCAGCCCACGCCCGCTCGACGTCGACGCTGCGCTGGCTCTGCCCATGCACTGCCCTTGCGAGCGCTCGCGCCGTCCCGCACACGCATCTTGAGACCTGCGCTCTCTTTGACCCGCGCCCACGCACCGCCCCGCGGCTCGTGCTTCGCTGTCGGTCAAGCAGCTGCTGCTCGCCTGCGTCGTGGCCCGCCTGCACAGAACGCCCAGGTGCAGCGCCACCAGAAGCTCCTCAAAACGAACGCCCGCCAATTCACTCAACCACCGCCCATTGCCCGCCCCAGAGCCCGCCCCAGAGCGCGCGCGTGCGAGCGAGTGACCGAGTACCTACCTGCGTACGTGCCTCTCAGCCTTCTGCCGCGCTGCCCTCCCAGACGCTCGCCTATCTCTGCCCTGGGCAGGTGCCAGCGTTGGTTCGCTCGCGCCAACCCGACCCGCGCTAGCACATCTCACATCCCAACCTCCTCCGCTTTCTAAACCTCCGCCCTCCCCCACTGCCCGGCGCCAGGCCACGCTCTCTGTGCACTACCTGCGCCAGCATCGAGGGTGCGTCCAGCGCCGCCCGTCCCCCCCAGCCCGCGCCCCAAGCTGACCAGCCGCAATCAGAGCAGATCCTGCACGGCCACCGCCAACGACCTGCGACGACTTTACGACTGCCCACGACCTGCTAGACCGAGAGCTCTGTCCGGCTATTTGCCAGCCTGCTATTCTTTGCCCGTCGAACGCGCCCCGCCCCCAGCTTCACGCCCGTTCGTTGGTTTTCCATCCGACCCACTCTCGGACAACAAAAAACCGCCCGCCTGCTGCGCCGCCCAGAAGCTCCACTCCCGCCGACTCAGTCAGCCTCTCGTTGCATGCCTTGACACGACCGACCGATTGAGCCTCCCTTACGACCGGCACGACGTCACGACGGCCTTGTCCCTTCTGCCCTGCAAGCGTTCTTGTCGTCTGCTCTGCTTCCTCCAAGCCTCGCTCCAAGCGCCGCATTCCTGACTTGGTCCTCCAAATTCCTCGGGTACGCTACCGTGCTACCAGCAAACTGTGCCACCGCGGGAGCAACCACCAAACCGCCTCGGACGAGCCTAAGCGACCGACCTTGCGAAGCTGTCGACTCCAGTCGCGCCGTGAGCTTCTGCACCTGAAGGTCAGTGTTTGCCTCCCCCCTCCCCCAAAACGTGCGCGCGCCGGCGCGCCGGCGCTGAGCCACTTGCCTCGATTCCCATTCTCCCCCAATCAAGCCATCATGCGGCCTTTCGCCCGACTGCAAACCACCGTTTTGTCACCTTGGCTCATTACGGCACGACGAGGCGCCTGGCGAGCTCGGCGGCGTTTGCCCCACATCTGGTTCCGTGCAAGCCCAGATCCTGCATCTGCTTGTCGCGAGGCCCTCGTTGCTCATTTACCGACGTTACTGACTCAAGTTCCAACCAGGTTTGACCTTCCCGTCCTGTCACTTCCAAACCAGACCCCGACAATACCGAAAAGCTGGAGCTGCCGTCGATCTCGCAGGTCCACTCCCGAGGCCCCGTCGACGCACCGTGGTACAACACTCAATACGCACCACGACCGACTGTATCGAGTGAGCGGCTACCGGCTTTGCCCCAGATCCAGTCGGGTGCCAATCCGTCGTCGAATTCTTCCTCGCCTCGGGGTGGATCCATCAGTTCTGTCTCTGCCATCAACAGCAGCGCGAGCTCCCATACGTCTTACTCGTCATCGGTGAACGGAAATCACTCAGGCTTCAAGACTCCCTCACCCGAGCAGACTCCCCAGACGCTTGGGCGCGATCCTCACTCGTTGAATGGGCAATCGCAGGAGTCGCCCTACGCCCAGCAGCATCCATCATCCGGCTACGGTTACGCCGCCGATTCATACACCAACATGAACCAAATGCAGTCCTACGCTGATGTCCAGCAACATCACATGCCCAACCCTGGGCATGCGACGTCGTCTGGCCCTCCGTCTACAATCGGCCATTACGCATCGTACCAGCAGCCTCCATACTTGCAGCCTGGTCCGACCAACCCGATGGTGCAAGGCTACTCGTACCAAAGCTCATATGCCAACGGCATGCCTCCAACACCCTCCACAGCGACGATGAACAACTCACTTGTCCCGGCGTCGTTACCGCTTCCAGGTGAGAATGGCCTTTTCGACCATCCTGTGGGTTCAGCACTGACAAGACGCAGCAATGTCCGCCGGTGGTCCTGGTTCATCCGTACCCGGCCAACAAGGATACCCGCCTACCCACCAATTCGACACAACGGGCCAAGTCGCACCACCTGGCATGAAGCCGCGAGTGACTGCAACACTCTGGGAAGATGAGGGTAGCTTGTGTTTCCAGGTCGAGGCTAAGGGCGTTTGCGTGGCGCGCCGAGAAGGTATGGAACGATGGAAACATTAAATTACCCCGAACCTGACCACAGTCCAGACAACCATTTCATCAACGGAACGAAGCTTCTGAACGTCGCTGGGATGACGAGAGGTCGGCGTGATGGCATTCTGAAGAGCGAGAAGACGAGGCACGTGGTGAAGATCGGGCCCATGCACCTGAAAGGTGTTTGGTAAGTTCCAAAAAAACACACGAGGCTGCTCGAAGAGATTAGGTGGCTGATACAAAGCAGGATCCCTTTCGAGCGTGCTTTGGACTTCGCCAACAAGGAGAAAATAACCGAGCAGCTTTATCCTCTCTTCGTGCATGACATCGGCGCTCTTCTCTATCATCCTACTAACCAAAGAGGTTCTGTGGGAACTGGAAATGCGATGGCCGCGCTCGATCGTCGTCGGCCTGAAGGCCAACAACGTTACATCGGCGCTCCGACGACAGCTTCACAAGCTCCGCCGCTGCATCATCATCACTCTCTGAGCAATCCGTCGATTCCGACTCAGATCCAGCAGTCGCCGCACTCCATTGCTCCCCACCCTTCATCAGGCCGCCCATCGATTGATAGGGCTCACACGTTCCCGACACCCCCCACGAGCGCATCGAGCATCATCGGCATGGGCAACTCCAGCAACTCCTACGAGTGGGGTAACCCCGGTGTGTCGAACATGCAAGGGAACCAACCCTTGTCGATAGACACTGGACTGAGCAACACACGTTCGGTCCCGACCACTCCCGCTAGCACTCCCCCTGGAACGATGCAGACCATGCAGCAGTATCAGACAACACAAGGCTACGACGGTTCTCGACCGATGTACAGTGCCCCTCCGAACCAGCAAAGCCAATACGCTGCGCAGAACATTTCTCGCTACCCTCAGCCGGTCCAGTCGAACCCTTACCCCAAGAGCGAGATGGCGCCTCCCGTACGTGCAGCTGGCGATCCGGTACAACAAGCAGACGTGAAGCCAACGGAGGGTCTTCTGAGTCAGGCGCCGGACCAAGTGGCTGGTGATGACGAAGCTGATCCGGATCACGATAACGAGTACACTCACACAAGTGCTCCGTACGGCAACCGTGCACCATATGGCTATCCGGGCTCGACGGCTCCTGGCGCCATTCGCGGAGATCACGTCTCCCAGGACATGACAGGCTCTCCCCACCAGAACGGTTCGGGTAGAGCCACGCCGCGCACCACTAACACTGGCCCCACCCAGTGGACCAGCGGATATGCCACTCCTGGGCAAACAAAACTGCCGTCAAGCAACCTGTACAGTGTCATCAGTGACACCCGAAGCACCGCCAATGGCAACGGGCCAGATGGTTATCCGGCGCCCAATGCCATGCAGACAGGCTATCCAAGTCAATTCAGCCCCGCCAACGGTCTCCCGGGTAAGCGCGTCCGCGAGCTCGATGATGATGAGACGGACTATGGTCGTCCGGCGAGCCGTGATGCAAACGGCAACGACATGGAGAGTCTGAAGCGAAGGAAAACCTTGACCGAGTCGACCATGGGTGGTGCGGTTGGAGGACCCGTTCCTGGCGGTCTTCAACGCGCCAAGACCACGCTTGCTCAACATGGACGGCGGTAATCCAACCTCGTTGTCATTAGCCGAGTATGTTTCTGCCATGGCAGCTTTCGTCACTAGATCCAATAGACGGCTCTACGACCAGGCGCTCTGAGGATGAACACTAATCAGTGGTGACCCAACGGTTTCGGGTGGCGGCGTCCGGAAATAATGCTGCATATCCGGCTCCCCGCACTGTGTCGTTGGGAACTACTCCCGACCGGCCCGAACCTCCATCCCGGGTCTCACGTGGTTTGCGAGCATCTCATGATCACGGTCTGCAAACTTATCCATTGACTTCTCCTTTTGTTCCTTTTTTTTTTTTTCGACTGAATCCCTCCGGCATTGACGACAGTAACGACTCTCCTACTTCTTCAGTTCTCGGCAGCCTCATGAACCTTGGCTGTCGTTCATCGGCTTGGATTAACTACGGAGTCTGATTTCAGGCCGGCGAGCTTTTGTACTCTTCATTTCACCACACCATGGCATTGCACTTTTCGTTGCGGAATAACAAAGACGTTTTCAGCCGCTGTCTACAGGAAGCCCACGTTGTTGCACGGCGGCGCAGAGTGCGGGTAATACGACGAACAAGATTTCACTTTCGGCGTCTGCGGCTGGGGTTTCCGGATAGAGCAAGACAGCCATCGCAGGATGGACGGCAACATTCTTAACTTCCGGTGTTGAAGTTGAGGAGGGCACCTGTCTTTACCTGGATCTCGGTCTTCTCTATCAGCCGCTCAGCGTCATGCATGCGGTGGAGGCTGCCTTGGGGGGGCATGGTTTTGGTGTGTGCTTTTGCGAAATTTTGAGCGAGCAGATGACGAAGCCGACGAATAAAAGAACGCATCATGGGAACAAGAAAAGAGCGAGCGACCACTTCCTTGCTTATTATTGGTTTCCAAGTCATATCTTTTTGTCGATGATGGACGGAACGGGACATGGACAGCCATATGACGACCAAAAGCAACCATTTGCGCGTCTGGTTTTCCTTCTCTTTGATGTTCAGTGCTGTTTTTCTCGGGTGGGATTGGAAGCCTTGACTACCAGGCCAAAAGGGGCGGCAGTATGGGGGGGTTCGGTGGAAGCGTTCGGACTTACTACTTACCTTCTCTGCTCCACTTTCCATCTGTTTTTTCTCGACATTGCCGCGGACAGGGCAATCTTCTTTCGGAGGCGATTTTTTCTGGGGTTCATGGGCTGATCTATTCGGTTTGGGGGACTTTGACATCTATTTCCTTGGTTGCTTTTTGGTTACTCTCTCACGGTTTCACTGAGCTTATGATAATGAGGAAATCCCAAAAAAGCTTGTTGTTCGCAGAAACCAACATGCAGAAGGGCGCGTGGTCTGTTTAAGCCTTCCTTTCCCTGCTGTAGTCGCGACATGCAGCTGCGGCCATGTAGACGATAGCAAGCAACTTGAATCATCTCACGCACACACGCAGCGTCTCGTGCATGTATGTACATACATACATACTCTTCCCCGGCTAATGGGAAGGCAGCAGTGGACCTGTGACGAGACGGGCATGAGCGGGATGCCGGCAAGTGTGTTGCAGGTTGCATTGCATTCCCGCAAGCGGCACGCGCCGGTGAGCCAGGCGGCGGCGGTGGCGTGGGGGGGCTGGTTTGTGTACAACTGCTAGCTCCGCTGCAGTCTGCACCGCGCCGCACCGGCGTGCGTTTCTTTTTGCAGTAGTGAGATCTTCCTTCTTCGTTTTTTTTTTTTTTTGGTCTGGTTTCTATTTGAGATTTCTTCAAGGCTGACCACCGTTGGTCCACGGGGCGCCGCCGCCGCCGCCGCTGCTGCTACTGCTGACTCACTCAACAAAAAAAAAAAGCCGGCGGACGCCAATGCCCAGCTCAGCTCGGCTCGGCCGACGATGGTGGTGATGGTGGTGGTGGTGAAGCGAAAAAAAAAAAAAGGCGGGAACGCCACCAAATTACCTCACAAGTACATGCTTAGTGTATGCTTTTGAACGGCCGGGCCCGGTGTCTTGCGGCGGGCGAATGGAGAGCGAGAGCGGGGGGGACGTTCTGCGCATGCACACGCGGCATTCCCGCACCAAACGGTGTTTCGTCATCTTTTCGCCTTCCTCCCGCTGCCTGCCCGGCCGTTGCATGCATGGGTGCGTGGTCGGGAGCACCTGAAACCGTACAAGCACACACATCATTGCGGATCGACACGCAAAGAGGAGGTGAGGTCTTGACAGGTGCGGCTCCACGTGTTTGTTTCCCGAGCGTCGGGTTGCAGGGGCGGGCGTCAACTGTCTCTTTTTGCCATGTGCTTTTTTGTGCTGGCTCGCATCGGTTCCCTGGGTTGGGCCAGAGCTGATTGGGATGGCGCGGGAGAGGGGTTAGTGGTTCTTTTTTTTTGTTGGTTGGTTCCCGCGTCATCGGATGGCTGGTAGGACGTTGGTGGTGCGTGACGTACGTTATGCCAGTCAGTAGTCATCCTTGGCCTACAGTGCCTAGCGATCGTACGGCTCGCGCTACCTGAGCCGGGCGAGAGAACGCGTCGTGATGGATTGACATGTGAACCATCCCCACCGGCTGCCTGGAGTGGATAAGCCTGGTCAGCTAGTAGGGCGGCGGCCAACGGCGGCTGCATGCTTCCTGAAGGATTTTGGGGAACCGTCGTTGCTATGGGGCCGTTGGATGACCTCGGGACGTTGCTTTTATGGCGCGAGCTATTTCTTGCGTCGTCTGCAAGGATATGTATGGAATTTCTATGCCGCCGAGTGTTGGGGAAACGCCTCTGGCAAGTCTCTATCGCCTTGCGGCGAGAACCGTCTTTTGCCCGCCCGATTGATCCTTTCCGTGCTCGTAACATTGCGCCTTCTTCACAGCGGCCAATAGGGAAAAAGAACCAAGGAAAACCGTGAAGGAAAAGACACCCCAGCTCCAGCCCCGCCAAAACGCTCCAGCAGACGCGGGTGTCAGCCTCCCGCTCAGGCATGAGTGATGATATCCTGTCATTCCCGCCTTCTAGTCTAGTCTCCGCTCTGCGCTCTCGCTCTTGAATGGTATCTGGCAGCGCTCCATTCGCTCTGTCCCATGGTGGGCGTGCCACCACCCGCCGACCCCTTCGGCGTCATCGGCCTCCTCCTCTCGACGGGACTCCAATCGCCCGTTCTGAGCGGCGGCGGCAATGGCATCCCGGCAAAGCTCCTGTCCAGAGAGCTGCGCGGCGCGTCACCGGGACCTCTATCAAACGACGTTCGCAGGGGCGGCATGGCAGCGCCGGGCCCTCTATCCAAAGACGTGCGTGGCAGCGGGACCGCACCGGGACCTCTATCTAAAGATGATCGTGGCATACCAGGTCCCCTGTCCAGAGAGCTGCGCGGGAAGCTGGCATTGGGGTCGCCGGGAGTTGCGGGCGGCGGCGGTAGGTCCGTGTCTTGCTGGACGAGCCTGATGCCGCCGGGGACAGTCTTGTTGGAGCGCAGGGCTTCGCGGCGAGCGGCCTGCTGGGCCTGCTGCTGGGCCTGCTGTTGGGCGTCTTTGCCTCGCTGTGGCTGCTGGTGATCGCCGGAGCGTGCGCGCTCCTGCTCGGTGACCAGGTCGTCGAAGTACAGCTTTGCGGCCTGGGTGCGCGAGTATGCCAGAGGGTTCCAGGCGTAGGCATTGAGTGCGTGCGGGCTGGCGCCGGCCTGCAGCAATAGGCGCAAGCACTTCAGCTCGCCGGCGGCGGAGGCGTGGTGGAGGGCGGTGTTGCCGTTGTTGTCGTGGGCGAGAGGAGAGCACGGATAGGGCGCAGAGAGCAGGTGCGGCAGAAGGGCGGAAGAGCCGTTCTTGGAGGCGTGCATGAGCTGTGGAAGCAGAGGGTTAACATGGAACCGGCGTCGCGGACGGCAGGCGGCGTCGGCTTACAACATCCATGCCGGCGTTGTTGATGTAGGGCACGCACTGCGGGAAGCGCGCGGCCAGCAGGATGCCCACCTCGACCTGCCCGCAGGAGGCGGCGAGCATCAGCGGCGTGTCGTGGTCCGTGTTGCGCGAGATGCCATCGTTCTCGTGGCCGGCGTCGATGAGGAAGGCAGCAATGTCGGTGAAGCCGTCGCGGGCGGCCAGGTGCAGCGAGGTGTTGCTCTTGTCCTCGAAGTCTGGGTTGCGCAGGACGTGCGGGTTGGAGCGCACGATGCGGCGCACGAGCACCAGGTCGTTGAGGCGGATGGCGCGGCGCAGGCGGATCTCGACGTTTATCATGGTGCAGCTGCAGGCGCGGGTCCAACCGCTACATGGCGCAGGAGGCTCAGGAGGGGGAGACCGCCGTCGTCTGGCGGGATCCGGGGAAGCTTATTACTGGGTACATCATCGTCAGTCCGCGCGTCGGGCTGCCGTCTTGGCGTCGGTCTTTCGAAACGCCGACCCAGCTGCGTTTTTTGGACGCCGCTGCTCTGCATCTTTTTTGCGACACCACCTCCAATCCCGCCCCGCTTCCCCCATGGCGCCCGTGACCGTGCTGGACCGCCCCGACGGGCATGCGCCCTTCCAGCTGCCGCCCGACTTCGCCCGCTACGACTCGGACAGCGACGCCTCCGCCTCCGCCTCCGACGCCGCCGACATGCAGAAGGACGCGACGGAGGAGGAACTCGAGCGACTCGTCTTCGGCGACCGCGCTGGCTTCAGGGAGGGCATCCAGAACTTCGGCCGCCGAGGCGAGCTGGTCGTAGCCGACGGGGAGCAGGAAGAGGAGGACAGCGACCTGGACAATGTCGCCGATGCCGATGTACGACGGCCGCCAGACCGCACTCCCGATTGCGCTCCATGCTGACTAGCCGCAGCTTTTCTTCACCGACTCAGGGCCCAATGCGAATACCGGCAAAGCCCTTGTCCCCGCCCCGGGCGCCGACGATTCCGACGACGATTTCGCCGACGCCGGCAGAGATGCGCCCGCATGGGAAGACAGTGACGACGAGCGCATGGTGGTCTCGCTGGCCTCGGTGCCAAGGTTAAGAAAACTGCGCAAGACGGAGGATGAGGATCTTATCAACGGCAAGGAGTATGCGCGGAGACTGCGAAGGCAGTTCGAGAGGCTGTACCCCACCCCGGACTGGGCCGTGCCAGCAGCGAGGAGGCCTTCGAAGAGGAGAAAGATTTCCGAGCACGACCGTTCGTCTGCCGACGAGGATGAATCGTCCAACGAGGACATGGACATCGACGAGGTCGATCTCTCCGCGCAGCCGCTCGCAAAGCTGCTCAAGGACGCCGACAGCCTTACACGTAGAGCCACGACTGGCCCGGCCAAGAGACGGAAGCTTCGCCCCGAGGTGCTCGACATCCAGCGGACAAAAGACATTAGCGGCATGCAACCCTCCGCAATCACCTCGCTGTCTTTCCATCCAACCCTCCCGATCCTTCTTTCATCTGGTCCCAGCTCGACGCTCTACCTCCACCATGTCCAGCCCATTCCACCGAACCCCAACCCTCTTCTCACATCCCTACACATCAAGCGCACTCCTCTTACCACCACCGCCTTCCACCCTTCGCCCGACGACTCGCGCATTTTCCTTAGCGCACGTCGTCGCTACTTCCACGTCTGGAACCTCACAACCGGCACCATCGAAAAGGTCACCCGCGTGTACGGCCACCAGCAGGAGCAGCGCACCATGGAGCGGTTCGCCCTGTCCCCCAACGGCAAGTACATGGCGCTGCTCGGCTCCGCGCGCAAGGGCGGCGGCTACATCAACATCCTGGACGCCCGCACGCTGCAGTGGCAGAGCCAGGCGCGCATCGAGTCGCTCGGCGGCATCGCCGACTTCGCGTGGTGGGCCGACGGCAACGGCCTCACCATTGCCGGCAAGAACGGCGAAATCAGCGAGTGGGACGCGGTGGCGCAGCGGCTGCGCGCGCGCTGGGTCGACGAGGGCGCCGTCGGCACCTCGGTCATCGCGCTGGGCGGCCGCAGCGGCCGCGACGACTGGCTGGGCGGCGACCGCTGGGTCGTCGTGGGCAGCTCCAGCGGCATCGTCAACGTCTACGACCGCCGCGCCTGGCTGCCCGCCAACAACAACAACAACAACAACAACAACAACGGCGGCGTCCCCGCCGCGCCCAAACCCGTCAAGGTCCTCGACCAGCTCACGACGCCCATCTCGCACCTCCGCCTCTCGCCCGACGGCCAGCTGCTGGCCATGGCCTCGCGCTGGAAAAAGGACGCCCTGCGCCTCGTCCACCTGCCCAGCTGCACCGTCTACCGCAACTGGCCCACCGGCGCCACCCCGCTCGGCCGCATCACCGCCGTGGCTTTCGGCGACGCCGCCGCCGTCGAGGAGAAGGATGGCAAGGGCGTCGACGCGGAGCTGATGCTCGCCGTGGCCAACGAGCAGGGCAAGATTAGGTTGTGGGAGATTCGGGCTTGAGAGAGGAGAGGAGAGGAGAGGAGAGGGGGGTGGGGGTTGCAGGTTGAGGGAGAAGAAAAGAAGGAAAATTAGGATGGATGGTAAGGGGCAAGTCGGAAAAAGTAATTGTTCTTCGTTCAGAATTTCTTCTTTTTTTTTTTGGTGGGTAGGTGTCGGGGGTTTGGTACGGAGGAGTTCCTGGGATTCGTGAGGTTGAAGAGTCGAAACAGGAGTAGATAGGGGGAAAAAAGGGTGATGTATGTATACTTGTTCTCGAGGTTTCTGATACGGGATAGGATAGAGCCAGGTCCATCAAGTCCAAGGAGGGATTTTGGTGTGAAACCGAGGGATGGAGAGAGAAAAGCAGTCAATTGAACCCATGGAAAATTCTCAACCACCAGTAGACCACCAAAAGCAACCGGCATGCTCCGATTCAAATTCTTGACACGGCCGTGGACCCCTTGACAGTCGGTATCCATGCAAAACATATCGCAGCATTAGTTCAAGTACAGGACAAAGCTTGCAGGAGGGTTCGGCGCTGCATAGCAATGTACATTTGTCTGTGAGGCAATATCTATTTTGAAGTCAAGGTGCTTCGCCGTTTGCGGTCTATTAATAGGAAACAAAGTAGGAAAAAAGGTGCAAAGAACCGTCCCGTCTATGCTTAACCCCACGATCTCTAGGTATCCAGAGTTCCCCTTACCGCCCCTACCCACCATTTCTCCGTTGTCATTGTTGCTCCGTGTTAGTCGCCCTGATAAAAGAAGTCTCCTCTTTCATACTTTTTGTTCATGAGTGCCTTTCGTTCCTTCGCTTTGAACCCCGCTACGCCTTGAGAAATGCTCTGTGATCACATAGTCTAGAAGGTCTTTTTTTTTCTTTTTTGGCTTTTTTCTCCATCATGGTCCATGTGCACTTTCCTGACCACGTTTCACCTACCAGCAAGTAGGCATCTAAGCTCAAAGTCGAGACTCAGGAATAGTGCCGTCAACGACAGCGACGGCGCCGATGTTACCAGCATCGGCGGAGCCGTTGAGGAGAGCAACGCACGAGATGACATCCGCTGGCTCCAGTAGGTGCCAGGATGCCAGTGTCTGCTTGGAGCTAGCGCCAACAGTCACGGAGAAGACATGGTCCTCTGGCAGCTTCGAGCCACGAAGGGCGGAGAACATATCTTTTCCAAAGGTCAGCCAGGCTCTGGAACGATAACGCGTGACATATCTTACCTTCGTCCGTGAAGTCGTCACCCGAACATAAGATGAACTCAGGAGGAGCGGCGCCATAATCAGCCACAAGGCGCTTTGCAATTTCGCCCTTGTTTACGAATCGCGGGCGGACCTCGAGATTAGCCTTGCCAGTCATGACTTCAACCTCATACTTCTTGGCAACGGTGGCCTCGAGATGCTTCTGACACTCGCGAGCCTGGAATGCTCCGTACTCGGGGTCGGCTCGGCGGTAATGCCAGGTCAGGGCGATTTTCTTCCTTTCTATGAAAGAGCCTGGTCGCTGTTAGAATGTTTTAACACTCGGAGAAAGGTACTTACCCTGAGTTCTCTCGGTGTAATGCTGGAAGACTTGCATAACGTCCGACTGCCAGCTCATATCAGTCTTCTCCGTGAGGTTCTCCCAGATCTCGCTTCTGGGATGGCGGATGAAACTGCCGTGTTCGGCACTGAGGCCAAGCTCGGTGATATGACCCATCCATTCGTCAAGGAAGGCTTGGTCGCGTCCGCTGATGATCCACACAGCGTTGTTCGGATCGGAGGCAAGCGTCTTGATAGTGCGGATAACACGATCAGACGGGATTGCAGATTGAGGATCTTTCACGATGGGAGTAAGTGTGCCATCGTAGTCGAACATGAACAGCCTCTTCTTAGCCTTCCTGTACTGAGACAGAAGCTTCGCTCGATCAAGCGCGGGTGTGGCAAATGACTGATCGAACGACGAGAGGTTGGTCATGAGACGACGCAGGTAGCTGTTAACCCACGCCTGCACGTTGTGCGTGACAACGTGCCTGTAGAGTTCTCCGTGCTGGTCTGCACGCTCTTCCTCGGTCATGGTAAGAGCTCGGTCAATGGCATCAGCGACGCCGCCAAGATCCCAAGGGTTGATATGAATGGCGCTGCCTAAGCTGCCGGCGGTACCAGAGAACTCGGAGAGGATGAGAGGACCTTTGTTGTCCTTTTGCGCAATGACATACTCCATGCTGGTCGTGTTCATACCATCGCGGACACTGGTGATGAGACCCACGTCGGCAACGCGCAGTAGTGCAAAGTACTCCTCCTTTGACAGGTACTGAGGGAAGTGTTGCACGGGAGCAAAGCTGAGACTGCCATGGGCGCCGTTGATCCTCGAGACAAGGTCGGAGATCTTGTTCACAAACTTATCGTCGTTGTGCGTCGCCTGGTGAGTGGCCGGGCTAGTGACTTGAATGAGGACCACCTTTTCCCGCCATTCGGGATAACGTTCCAGGAAAAGCTCGAATGCTTGCAGCTTCTGTGCGACACCCCTGACGGCATCAAGCCTGTCACGGCCGACAACGAGCTTCTTGTCTGCGTAAAGCTCACGAATCGCTTTGACCTTTTCGGAGACAGCGGCATCTTCGAGAGCAATGCGTTGCGTGGCAGCCGCATTGATACCAATGGGGAACACGTCAACGGCTACGTGAGCGCCGTACGCATCAACGCCGGCAGAGGATGAGTCGAATCCGAGAACACGGGTGCAACAGGACGAAAAGTGGCGTGAGTAGCTGTATGACTGGAATCCGACCATGTTCGCACCAAGAACGCCCTCCAGAATCTCTTTGCGACGGCTCAGACACCTGTAGAACTCGCTGCTTGGGAAAGGGATATGGAGGAAGAAGCCAATGTAGACGTTGGGTAGGCGCTGGCGGAGAAGGCTAGGAAGCAGGAGAAGGTAGTAGTCGTGGATCATGATGATGTCGCCTGGCTTGTAAATCTCGATAATCTTGTCGGCAAACATCTTGTTCATGCGGTAATAGTCGGCCCAGGCCTTGCGTGCAGCACGGCCGTCAGCAGGCTCATTCTGCTTGTAGTGGAAGAGGGTGTACAGCTCCTTGTCGGCAAATTGGCGCCAGCGAGACTGGTCCTTCAGCACAACCACGTCCTCGTCCTCGTGCAGTTCGTCATAGAGCCATACAGGCACTATCCTGCCGCCATGGTCGCGCTCGAGCTGCTTCTCCAGACGCAGACGATGCTCCCGGTCAACGTTGAGGCCTTCCTGGGCGGGCTGCTGAGGCTTCGCCTCGGCGTCAACGGGAATGGGAGCGGAAGCCTTGTTCAGCGGGGTGCTGGTGTTTGTGCCTGCAGCAGTGTCGCCAATGACGGGTTGAGCGTTCGCAGCAACCTTGATCTCGCCAGTCCAGCCGACCAGAGTGTGGTTCCAAGGGGAAGAAGAAGAGGCGAGATAGGAGAAAGAATCGAACAGGGCAGAGGTGCCGCGCCTGGAGCGGAGTTCCTGAGGAAAGCGAATTAGCTCTGGCCGGGTCAAGGCAAGATGCAGCTTACCCAATCGTTGCCGGGCGAGTAGGCGATGCTGTAAGGCACGCAAGTAGTGGCGCTGATGACATGGCCGCTGAGATTCAGGTTGGGGTGAGCAGCCATGGGGTCAACATCCGCCAGATCGGCCTTCTCCGCCGACTCCAAAGTGGGTCGGCTCAGCCTCCTCAGAATCTCCTCGGGGCTCTTCGCGCCGGCGGCAACGTCGGTGGGCGAGCTCGCGCGATCGGCGTCGGGGGCGTGGCTCGAGTTGGGATTCCAGTTCGGGCCCGGCGAAGTCTTGGCAGGGTCGAATGGCAGCGGGGGTTGGTCGTGGAGGGCGGCGGGCTGGATGTAGGCATCAAGGCCGGCGGTATGCACACCAGGCGTGACGGGCTCAGTGGTGTTCCTGGCATGCATGCTGTCGTCCGAGGCCGGGACCTCTGGGCTAGGCGGTTCGGCAGGCATGGCGGAAGGGGCGCACGCGTCGGGCTGGGTTGCTCGGTCAGCGCGGCGTTGGGAGGGGAGAATGGCTAGCAATATAGACGGGCGTCGGGGGTGGAATGGCGGCGAACGCACCGGGGGTGTTGTTGTTGCGCGAAGAAGCTGCAGTTGACGTCAGGCGCAGCCGAGGATTGGGTAACGAGCTCGCGTCGCTCCTGCGCGGTGCGGAAAGTCAGTCTGCAGGCGGAGGCAGAGGCGCGGGGTCGTGCAGCAGGTCGCACCGAGAGGACGGAGAGGCGGCGATTGGCGGAGGGCGCAGTCAGTCAGCGTGCAGGCGCGACTGTCAGCTTTTAAAAGGGCGGATTTGGTCTGATTTGGTCGGACGCAGCAATAGGAGAAGATCGGCTATGGAGGAGCGGGCAGCACGAGGCGGTCGCGCGGAGCCCCTCCAACGGCCAGCCGCGAGCGACCTTAAGTAAATCCACGTCATTCTAGCCCGTCTGGCCTCGCCATGGCCCGGGCCGCCAGCGCGCGCCGACTGCCTCTGGCCTTCTGGCGCAGTCTCTGCCATTCCACGCGCACCTCGCACCGTCCGTCATGCCACGCGCCGTCGCTCCGTCGCTGCCGCCATGGGGGAGCTTCACATGCCCCTCCGCCTGCTCCTCCCACCCCCGACCAAGGCGCCGAGAGCAGCAGCGCGGCGAGGCGCTGGCCTGCCCGGCCTGCCCGGCCTGCCCATCCTGCCCGCCGCGAACGGACGCGCCTGCGTCTCCTTTTTTTTTGCCCCCCGACGCATCCCCTTATTAAGCCACAAACTCGAGCAGCGCGCAGCGACAGCGTCCAGACGCGCGCGCCATTGGCCAATAGAGTCGCGCGCGGTGGCCCTTGCGCGCGCACGTGACCAAGCGAGCCTGGGCGGCGCGACTTGCTCTCCGCGCGCCCTCGACAAACGCAAGCACCACCGCCACAGACTGCCCGCTGTCCAACACCGCCCCCGCGCCCATGCTTAGCGACCGCACCATCTGCTGTGCAGGCAATGCCCTTCGCCCCTACGTCGTGCTGTCGCGCCTGTTCGATATCCCCTTGACCAGAACGCGGGCCTTCCCCACCTCGCACTGCGCTGCTGCCGCCTTCTCCACCACCGTCTGCCGTCGCTCCGACAATGGAGACCCCCACGCTCGCAACATTCATGCCACCAGCCTGGATGTAACCCTGGAGGCCCATCGTCGTGCTAACCAGGACTCTCTGATTCGCAGGGTCCACGGTCCGCAACCCCCCCCATCAGAACACGCACCTCTCATTTGGCTCAGGCCACACTTGTCCCCTGACCGCTTCGATTCTCTGCCTGGGCCTGGACAAGATCCCACAGCAAGGCCCTCCGAGGTTGGCGATCCGGAGCAGAAGAGCACAGCAAAGAAGGACAAAAATGCCAAAGATGAAGGATCTTTTACAAGTGTCTCCAAGATTAGAGCAATACGTACTCCCACCTTGCCAGATCGAGAGGTGCCTCCGGCCGATTACCTTGGTCGATACGTCGAGCCGCTGCAGAAGAGGGACGATGTCAGGGATGAAGATCTACCTTGGTTCGCAGCGTCTCTTCGATCCGGTGCCACGCCTATGGAAAGGTCTGGCCCACGCCTTGCAACGAAACTGTTGACTTGCTGACTCCATCATAGACTTCGAGCCGAGATAGAGGCGTTTGCAAAATATATCCAACCCACGCCCGAAGAGCATGCTGGGCGTGTTGCTGTTGCGGATCACACGCGCAAAACATGGTCTCGTTTCGTCTCAAGAAAGACCGGCAACTATAAGAACCTTCAACTTGAGGTTTTTGGTTCTGAAAGGACCGGGTTGGCCACTGCTACCTCTGACATTGACTTGCGTGTTTACAACCCAGACGTCCAGAAGGAGAGCATTGCGATGAAGGCGCCCAGGTACCATCGGAGAAAAGAGTTCACATACACTCTAGAGCGCGCTTTCTCGTTCTACGACAGAGATCAGAGTTTCATGCTGGTTTTCTTCCGGTATGCGAGATATCCACTTATCTCAATGCAACACGCCCCCACGAGCATCGACGTCCAGCTTGTTTCCAGTAACGACACAGCCCACGCACGGGCGGTTGCGGCAAAGTACATGGAGGAGCTGCCAGCTCTTCGCTCTTTGTATATGGTTTTCAGGCGCATGTTGGAAATCAGAGGGCTGTGTGAAGTCTATTTAGGAGGGATGAACTCCTATAGCATCTTCTATATGATCGCTGCAGGTATGAAGCTCGGTTCGCCTGCGGCTCATGATGATCCTGCTGCGCAGCTCCTCGCTGTTCTGGACTTTTACTCCAACTTCGATGCAACTAAAAACTGGATATCGTTGGAACCTCCGGAAATCCTACCAAAAATCGAGAAGAAGACGACACAGTCCAAGGAAGAGAAGACGGTACTTTCTTCCAGAAACTTTGGGTTCGGTGTACTGATTTTTCATAGAAACTCGCAAAGCACCCCATTGGCTTGCAAGACCAAAAGCAGCCATATCTCTTCTGCCTACGCGACCCTGCCGACGAAACCAACGACCTAGGACACAAAACGTTCCAATGGAAGCACCTACAGGAGACTTTGAAGACCTTGAACAAGAAACTACGCGAGAAGCTCGAGAACGATGATGGCTCATTGCTCATCACGCCCTTGGTCGGCAGAAGCTTTGAGCTGTTGGAGGCAAGAAGGACTAGGCTTGCCAGGTTCGGTCGGAAGTATATGCACACTCGGCATGCGCTAGAAGTGCCAGTCGATCTGACGGGAAAAGAGGCGGGGACTGAGACTGCGGAGGACGTGCCAGTCGATCTGACGGAAAAAGAGGCGGGGACCGAGGCTGCGAAGGACGTGCCAGTGGTTCTGGCTGAGACTGGGAGCGAAGCTGTGGAGGAAGCGCCGGTGGGTGGGCAGGGCGATGCTGACGGCGAGGCTGACGGCGAGGCTGCGAAGGCATGATTGGATGTCATTTTTTTTTCAGTCGATCATGATGATGATGACTAGATGACAACCAGCTGACGGGAGGGTCGGGCCACTGTTGCAGAAATGCGTCGGGACTATCGGCATTGTATGGAGTTGCTAAAGTAAGCCAAACGGCTGAAAATGATTTGACTGGCGCTCTCTCCAAAATTGACGGGAGAAAAACATTGGAGTCAAGTAATGCGTCGGGGGAGCCGTGGGATCGGCTTGTAATGCCAGCAGAGCAACCGATCTAAGAACCGGTTAACTCTTGGGGAGAATGGCAAGATGATTTGGCATCTGGGTTCGCAGTTGCTGCTGCCTGCAGCTGGAGCGGCTTTGTGGCTTGCGGCTGCAACTCGTGACGCCGCGCCGGTGACACAGCTGCCTAGAAGGATTCATGGAAGCACTTATATCCATTTCCCTTCGCTGTTGCCCATGCAAAAAAGAGAAAAGAGCAGCTATGCGAGCATGGATCGAATTGAGGATGCTCAGTTTCCTAACTTTGTCATTTCGTTGAGTGCTGTTCTGCTGTTTTCCATCGTCGTCCTGTACCATGGCGTTCCCGCTCCAATGTCGCTGCCCGGTCCATTGCCGTGGGTCGGGCTTCGAGATGAAAGGTTCCAGAAGCCAAGAGCCCATCTGCGCGATGCGAAGCATGGCCATGAGTACTTGAAGGAAGGGTACGAGAAGGTAAGCAGATGGCCGTCTGGATCGAGGCATCTGTCACTGAAGCCTTGGTTCAGTACAGCAAACAGGGGAAGGCCTTTGTGTCGCCGCACATGGGCTTCAGAGAAGTCGTCGTTCTTCCACCGGCCTCTATACCCTGGCTGCTGCGGCAGCCGGAAGACCGTGTCAGCCAACCCAAGATGATGTCACGCATGCTGCAATCCAAACACCTTCTCCCCGCCCACCCTGCAGATGAGGTTTTCCACGCATCCACCATCAGGGTTGATCTCAATCGCCATCTCGCAGCCCTGACCTCGGACATAGCCGACGAAATCCACGCCGGCCTGCTAGATGCATGGGGAGCAGACACTTCCAACTTCCGCTCCGTCTGCGTCTCAGACACCATGGGGCACATTGCCACCCGCGTCTCGACCCGCGTCTTCTTCGGCCAAGAGCTGGTCCGGGACGCCGACTTTGTCGCCCACACAGGCGCCTTCTCTACCGGCTTAGCCACCTGCTCCGGGATCCTTGCCCTCTTTGTGCCTCGCGCCCTCCAGCCGCTGTTGGGCCCGCTGCTCGCACTGCCAGTCCGCTACCACGCCTGGCATATGAACCGCAAGCTCATCCCGCTCATCCAGCGCCGGCTGGCCTCATCTCCCTCGACGCCGAAAGAAGCCCGGCCGAATGACCTCCTACAGTTCCACATCGAATCCGCCCTTGGCTCCTCCTCGGCGGCCGACCGCTCGCCCGCCACCATCGCCGCGCGCCTGCAGCTGCTCATCAGCTTCGCCGCCATCCCGACCACCCACCTCACGCTCACCAGCGCTCTGCTCAACCTCGCGACTTGCCATCCGCCCCTTTCCTCTCTCCCTCCTTCCGCTCCCCCTTCCCTCCCGATTCCCCCGCCGTGGAGCTCGTCCCCCGAAGCTCTGCTGACCCTCCGGGCCGAAGCTGAGGCCATACTCGCGCGCCATGGCGGCACGTGGACGCGCGCGTCGCTCCTGCAGCTGGTGCGCGCGGACTCGTTCCTCAAGGAGACGATGCGGCTGGACACGTTCGCCGGCAGAGGGTTGCTGCACGAGGTCGTGGCGGAGGGGGGTGTGGCGTTGCCCGGTGGCGAGAGAGTGCGAAAAGGCGCGTGGGTGGGCGTGGCGGTGGGGGAGATACAGAAAGACGAGGACGTCTACGGGAAAGGTGCTGGGGAGTTTGACGGGTGGAGGTTTGTGGCTGAGGAGACGAAGGCGGAGAGGAAGGGAGAGGAAGGGGACGACGGCGGCGGCGATGATGCCGCATTAATGGGAGCTGGCGCTGGGAGCAGAAGCAGCATGGTGACGACGAGCGATGTGTTCCTGGCGTTCAGTCGCGGTAGACATGCGTGTCCCGGCAGGTTCTTCGCGGCGAACGTGATGAAGTTGGTGTTGGCGTACGTGGCGATGGAGTACGACATCGGGCGGTTGGAGAAGCGACCGGAAAATGTGAGGATAAGCGACATCTCGGCACCTTCGCCCAAAGCGGCGATTGAGGTGAGGAGGCGGAAGAAGATTCCATGATTCATGACAAGAAGACGTGGGTCAGCAGTGTACGATATGCGGACTTGAGCGACGGCGGCCTCTCGACTCAATGCCTTCGGGACGCCGGTCCATACTTGCGGCAATTCTCTGATCCTTTTTACAAATATGTATGTACAATATCAAGCTACTCGGCAAGACTAGAAGCCAAAGGTGGGCACACAAGCTTCGACAAGCTTCAGGGCTGATCTTGGCAGCCCTGACCGCCTCAGTCCCCCGCGTCTCGATCAACGAACCGCGACGCTGGCACCAATCGCTTGCGTGCACGATCGACCCCATGACACATCTCCAAAGGCGGAGAAAACCGCGCAGCCGAAGCGTCGCTCCCAACTGGGCTCCAGATCATCGCCGGGGTTCCGGCCCGCCGCGACATCCGACGAAGTGGGGGAAAGTATTCGACCACAACATGACTTCGACGACATTGGCCCCGCATCAAGAAGCCCCCTTCGTATTTCCGCCAGCCCCTTCAGACGCCCCGCAGTGTCACAGCCGCCTTGCAACGGTATCCACTCAGCTGCCGAGGCTGATCAACCACCGCTCCCGAGACATACCCCTCCCCTCCCCCTCCCCCTCCCTCTCCCCCAATTGAACAGTACCGCCAATCCCAAAGACCACGACCAGTTCCAGGAACGCAACGACACAAAGAAGAGGGACAGTATGGGTCTTATCGGCGATCTCGTATCCGAATTCACCCACTCCGGGCAGCAACAGCCACAGGAACCGTCGTACGGTGGTGGCAGCAGCAACAGCGGCGGCTACGGCTACGGCGACTACAGCCAAGGCCAGCCACAGCCGCCGTACGTCCAGCCGCCGTGGGTCGCGCGCTGGGACGGCGAGGCCGGCCGCTGGTTCTTCGTCAACGAGCAGACGGGCGCCCGCACCTTGGAGCACCCCGGCGGCAGCTACCGGGAATCCGGCTACTACCAGGGCGGCCCCCCGCCGCCGGGCCAGGACTACAGCGGCGACAGATACGGCGGTGGCGGACAGCGTGTCGACTACGTCGACGACGAGGAGAAGAGGTCGGGCGGCGGCAATGGCTTGATGTACGGCGCCATTGGCGCGGCGGCGGGCGTGGCGGGCGGTGCGCTGTTGATGCACGAGGGGGACAAGATTGGTTGGTGCCCTTTCTACACGCGTCCATGGCGTTTACCCCTCCCCCCACCTCTTTGTCATACCGCCTTCTGCACCTTTACACGCATCGGTTACTGACACACACGCTCTCCCCATCTCCCCCTGAACAGCGGACGACTGGGACGAAGACAAGGCGCGTCTCGAGCAAAAGGCCGAGCATGCCGAGCAAGACGTCGAGGAGTTCCCCGAGGACGCGGCGCGCTGGACGGGCGAAGCCGCCGGCCACGTCGAGAACATCCCGGACGACGTCGAGCGGGGCTGGGACCGCGCCGAGAACAATGTCGAGCAAGGCTGGGACAACACCGAGAACAGGGTGGAGCGGGGTTGGGACAACACGGTCGACGCGGTCGAGGACGCGCCCGAGAACGCGGCCGAGTGGGTGGGAGAGGGCGTCGGTAACGTCGAGCAGGGCTGGGACAGAGCTGAAAACAACGTCGAACAAGGCTGGGACAACACGGTCGACGCGGTCGAGGACGCGCCTGAGGATGCGGCCGAGTGGGTGGGCGAAGGCGTCGGTAACGTCGAGCGCTTCGGTGATGAGGTTGACAATTACGGCGACAGCTTAGAGGCGAGCTACGATGAGGGCAGGGACGAGGCTAGGTACGATGACTAGGTACTAGAAGGGGACATGTCCGGTACGATGCGAACTAGGATATCGAGCAAGACGAGACACTAAACCAAATAGACGACGTCAGGGAATTCGAGCTCATCCTGACCCCATGGTGATGAATCCTTTGGGATATATAGGCAGGCCCAAATCTTACCAACTTTGGGATCATCAGCAATAAGGCACACAAAGAGTCCAACAACGTCCTCCATACCCAGATGGGAGAAAGGGGGCACAATGGTGCTGGGGCGAAGCAGGGGATGACGAGCAACAAAGCTAAATGACGGATGATGTCCAGCGCCGGGCAGAACCCGCTCGCTACCAAGGATGACCCTAGCACGATCCGCTGAGCATGTGGCCATCTCAGCCTTTGCTACAAAGGCATGGGATCGTCGGATCAGTAATGAATTTGCCCATGGAAGCAGATTAGTGATGAGGTCTTGGGACCCCCGGAGTGTTCGCGGTGATTTTAATTAGGGTCCCGAAGATGAGATTTGAGTTTGTTGCCACCTCCAGCTAAAATCCTACGTCACCGTTTATGGGTCGATGTGCGTGATAGTGGCCGTGAGGAAGGGCGGTCATTACCCCGCACTGCATCCTCATCACCCTTGGCCGCCAGATGAACGTGCACTGTAGAACCATCCTTGGCTTCGCCTACCGTCTCACCAACAGCTGCAAATCATGTGGTGATCAATGGCTCTATTTGTCGCGAAGCTAGTTTTTGCGAAGATCTTTGGCAGCTCGCACTATCGACTCTCAACTTTTAGGCCTTAGCTAGACGTGGTATCGAAGAGTGTCCGCTAACAACAAAGGAAAATGGAAATTGTCGACCAGGAATGAATGAATGTCGAAATGAAGAGAAAACTAGTCGAACATAATCGAAAATCGTCCGTGTTGTCCCAGGCCTAGAATCCTGCGCCGATTAAACCAGATATGCTGCAAAACAGGTGGGTGGGTAGGAATCAAGGAAAGTGCCCATGCAAAAAGTACCCATCCACAAACAAGAAGGCTTTTTTTGGCTTGGTCCTCATGAAAACAGAAAGCAGACGAGAGAAGACGGGTCTCTCCCTCGCTGCGGGACCTTCCGTAGAAGCGTCCAAGAAAATGCGCGCAAATGCTTCAGATGAATCATGACCAGGAGCGCCGCCGGTGCTGGCCTCCTGTAGCCTCGTCCACTCGCTCCGGGCGGGCAGCTGCAGCCATGGCCGCCGTGGTCGTCCGAGTCTTTGGTTGCGGGTTTCCCCTGTCGTTCGATGGCGCGTCGAAGCGAACGAATACACTGCCATCGAACAGTCCACCTCTTCTCCTAAACGGCGCTGCCGTCCCCACAATCTCCGCTTCCCCACGCCTCCTCCTGCCCCTCTTCTGTTTGGTGAAACCCGGCGCGAGAGTCAGGTCGTATGGTGTCTTGGCCCCTCGGGTGAATGCGCCTCGCTACAGCCAGGGGTCTCGCTTAGGGCGAGTCAACCTACGACCGCGTCGACCTTCCAGTGAACTCGCGGACAGCGGCCGTGGGCATCTTGCTCCAGCGGCGGCTGGAAGTCGAGCCTGATGTGCTGGAGTAAGGCGACGACGGGCCGCTGCCGTACACGTATTCGCCATCAACATAACGGGCGTCGCTGATGAAGGTGGTGCGCTTTTCACGACGCGTGTAGCGCTGCTCGAGGCGGTACAGCTCGAGCTCTGCAGGGTCGGCGTCAGCGTCGTGGTCGCGCAGTGAGGCGAAGGCCGGGGGGCGGATAGGGGCACTCACTGGCCTGCAGCTTCTCGATAAGACCCATGGTGGTAGCGACAATGGTTGGTGGCAATGACGTTGAAGGCTTTGAGGCTGCGGTAGGGCTGGGTACAGTTTGCGTCGAAGGGCGATTGTGTAAGCGGAAGAGTGGTCCAACGGCCCGGGAGACGGGAGCAATTAAGGGCGAGAATAATCAGGCGCGATTGCTGCCGGGGCAATAGCGCGAGCGGAAATGGGGGGGCTGAAGATCTCCGGGCAATCAGGCAAGAGGCCGGGCAGGCGAGGGCTCGAGTGGGCGATCAGCCGTGGAGTGCGGTGTCACGGTGTGGGCGCGAGGGCTGGTGTGGGCGCAAGCAGCAGCAGCGGGGACGAGCTCGGATGGAAACGAAGGACTGGTGGTGAGTGGGAGGCGGGCGCAGAAAAGGAACGACAGGGCGGGTGGTCTGGGCCGGCCAGGAAGATCCAGGTGCTAGGGCTCGTCGTGGGTGCGGAGAGGAATGGGAGGCGTCGCAGAACGTGCGCATGTTCCCACGTCGCCCCTGTGCACATGCGGCCTAGGCCGGTGGCGGCGCTTCCCGGTAGAGTTCGAAGTTTCACCTTGGCCGTTCGCTTGGCCGTTCGCTTGGCCGCGCCCGCGCAATCGCATGGCTCGCATGGCTCTCGCGAAGGCGCGGGGCGGCGGGCTGCCTGACCTGAACACTGCCCTGGACACTGACCTGAACACTGCCTCGGGGCGCGCTCGCTGCGCTGGCTGCTGGCTGGCTGCTGCTGGCGATCGTGCGAAGACGCAAGGAACCGGCGCCGAGATTAGAGCCGCGCCGCCTGCTTGGGCACGCGACGCGCGACGCCCGCCCGGCAACAAACCTCCGCGCAGCCACCGCCCACCGCCCGCGCCGCTCCTCTCACCTGCTCAGGCCTCTCATCAGCCCTCTCTGCCCCGCGCCCGCTCCGCCCAACACGCCTCGTGCCGCTTGCGACGTACGACCCTGTGTGCTGCATCTACGTACGTACCTAGTATGTTGCACGCCGCCAGTCCCTCCAGCGAGGCCGGTTGACGCACCCTGCAGCCACGCTTAGCCGTGTGGGCGGGCGGATCTGCCCCAGGCCCCCAGACGCATGCCAGCCCAGCACGCGCGGTTTTCGTCGAGAATGTGACTCGCCTGCGTCGCCCGGTGCGTTCCTACATGCGGCGTTGCGGCTTCGGGCAACCACCGGCGTAGCTCGGTGCCACGGGTGCCTTGCAGAAAGCCCCGCGCCCCAATCGGGCAGGAGCCGAGCCAGCTGGGCCCGACGCCGACGCTGCATGCCCGCTTTTTCTGAAGCACCTGGCCGCCTCAACAGCAGGTTTACGAGCCACGGAGCTAGGTTGTCGCCAGCTGGGATGACGTCGCCCGCGAGGCGGGGTGCCCGCATGAATCGCGCCTCTCCAGAATCATGCTCCGGATGCCAATCATTCATGTTTATCTGATAAGCTACCCTGGACATCATGCGACCAACAAACAGCCTCACGAACACCCTCACGAACACTGCGAGTACCACGCGTTCTGCTCAACGCATGTATAGGGGCTTGCACACTGCGCCAGCAAACGTCAGCCCGACTGTTCCGGAATCGTTCTGGATGGCACATGGAATAATGGGGAGCTGGGCTTACTGCTGTGGGCCCTGAGTAGCCCTGTCCTCCGCACTGGCCCCACTGGCCAACTGTCCCCGCCGATGTCGTGGTCGCAGGCCCTGCCGCCGAGCTGCTTGTCGCCGCTGCAGAAGTCGAGACCGCGGCGGACGTCGATCCCGCGCCGCTCGCCGTGCTCGTGCTCGTGCTCGAGCTGGGCTCTGTGCTCGTCGTTGATGGAATCTTCCCGGTGACTTTGAAGATGGCCATGTCATGCTCCACCTCGAATGTCCAGCTCACACCATCACCACTCCCAGTCTTGCCACTATACAGCTCGGTCCAGCTGTATGTCCCTGCACCAAGATCCGGCACATCCGCAAAACTGACGCTGAGTGTCCCCGCACCGTCTGCTGCGACCAGCCCGATCACGAACCCATCGCTGAGCGGGCCGGACCAGTATGGGTACAGCGTGCCACTTGTGGGCGCTGCTTGACCCGACGGCGTGAACGTCGATGCGGCGAGTCCGAGGGAGTCTTGATTGACGGAAATGACATCTGCGTTCTTGATTATCGCTAGGCTGGAGTTGGTTATCTTGGTCAAGTCCGTCCCGAGCAGGAGCGGCGATTTGCAGATGGCCCAGAGACCAAAGTGTGCTCGCTCTTCGGCTTCCGTCAGCCCACCGTTGCCCACTTCCAGCATGTCATAATCGTTGAAGCCTCCGGGTGCGGAATATGACGTGATGCCAGCATTCGACGCTGCTATGCTCGCTACTGAGTTCCAGTTGTTGGTGATGTCGCCTCCGACACGCCAAGAATTGCCCACGCTGGCTCCCCATTCCCAAACGGAATCGACTCCCCATTGACACAGCGAATACAAGATATCTCGATCCGTGGCGAGCAAAGCATCACGCATGGTCTCATACCGAGGTTGCGAATCTCCCGAAGGGGTGTTGCAGTTGTCGTACTTCCAGTAGTCCACCGCCCACGATGCCAGCAGTACTGCGTCCTGCTCCTCGTAACCCTGGGATCCCGGGAATCCGGCGCATGTTGCAGTGCCGGAGTCGCCGTACAGTCCGAACATGAGGCCAAGAGCATGGATCTGATCGGAGACATTCCTGATGCCGTTCGGGAACTTCGTTGGGTCAGGAACAAGGTTGCCATCGGAATCCCGCGCCATGGTTGACCATCCGTCATCCAGGTTGATGTAAGTGTAACCAAGCTCTTTCAAGCCTAGGTTCTCAAACGCATTCGCTGCTGCTAAGGCCGACTCGGCGCTCGCGGAAAGCCCGGCGTTGTAATTGTTCCAGCCCAGAGCCGGCTTCGTACCAACACCATTTTCCAATCGCCTTGTCAATGGAGAAGCTGCAGCGCCTGTCAGTAGAAGAGTGACAACGAAGGAGAGGGCAGCGGCAGTCATATTGGAAGTGTGCGCTGGTCAGCGGAGGTGGAGAATGCATTGAATTGGACCCCCTCTTATGTACCGTCATCCTCGAAATCTTGGTTCGGGGACGGATTGTTTTGCTGCCGTTCAATCATGCTGAATATATGAAATGCTGCGTCGCGTTCGGCCTGCGGACCACCTTTCCGAACCAAATTATCCCAGTTCCACCAATGAACACAAAAGGTCGTAAACGTTCGTATTTTCTCCGTATTTCACCTAGACATATTGAGCAAGCCCACTGAAGCTTCCTTCTCAAGGCTTAGCTTCATCTCGAGGTGGGAATAGAAGTTCGGTGAACGGCAAAACTCCGCATAGAGGGCATCGCGGGTCCGATGCCGTTGCAGGGGACCCTGTCCACGTAGCTTGATCGACGTGCCGTATTTGGAAAGGCTGTTCAAGAAGTCGGGCTCTGAGAAGTTTGCATATGCGGGGTTGCCGCCTGGCGATGCAACGGTTGACGCCATTCCCGTGGCGAGGTATCTGAGTATGGGGGAGAGAAATTGGGCTGTCAACTCTGCAAAATGTCGCCGAATCAGAGGCCCAATGGCGTCTGAGGCCGACCTGCCGCCTTTCTGCATGGCGTCCAGCTGCTGCAGGAAAGATCGATCCGGCTTCAGGAGCTTCTTAGCCGGATTGATGGCTTCAATGCCGCCAGGAATATCGAAGCCTGGCGGGCAGGTTGCCTGCGAGCTGGACGGCTTGACGGGCACTGGAGATCCGGTGTTATGCAGATACAGAACGTACGGATTCGTACTGCCGCTCGATTCTGCAGCACTTAGAATCCTCTTGAGGAGAAACGGGTTCGTGATGCCGACAATGAAGTGCCGGGAAGTGCCCCCGTTGAAGCCGGCAACGCAGAACTCGGACTGCATGGTCAGGTACGGCTTGATCTCTCCAGCATAGGGAATGGGCCGAATCAAGTCGACGAGTGCCGACACGACCTCACTGCAGGTCTGGGGGCTTTTCGCCATGATGATCACGTTTTCGCAAAGAAGCAACCTCTCGAACACTGTGTACAGGTCCGACAAGGAAGAAAAGAAGGGAATGAGGCGCGACCAAGAAGTCGTCGGTTGATAGGCGTATATGGGGCCCGAGACACTGTCCGAGCGGCTACTCTGCGGGGACGCGAGACCCTGCAGCGGAAACGCGAGATGAGGTGCACTTCAGCTTTGTCAGCGTTGAAGATCCGTCGGAGGCGAGAACAGAGCGACATACATTTCAAGCACTAGCAAGGAGCCGAGGAAGGGCAGCTCATGACGGCCAATGGAAGGCGGAGGCCATGCGGAGATCTGAGTACACGCAGCCTCGAAGGTGTTGGGGTCACATAAGATGCCCGAGCTTGTCATCTGCTGCAAAAGTCTGGTGAAAAAGGCGGAGAAGTTGTGGTTGGAGATCAACACCACGCTCTTCTGGTTGTAGCTGCGCTTGGTAGTCCCATCAAACTCCTGGCGAAACAGACAGTTGCCATAGAAGGTGCTGGGGCTGCCGTGGGGCGCGCACGGGGAACTCAACAACACATCAGGCGAGCGATTTCTGATTGAAAACTGGAACGAGAGGTCTTCGCCCATCTCGGGCGTCTGTTGCTCGGGAAAGCTGCAGCATGGTCAGACTCGCCGTACGGGAGGCATCCCGACTGCAGCATTGGCTTGGGCAGAGACGACGTCGGGCACGTGCTCCCAAAGGTGAAGCAGACAGCAGAGCGGGGCGGGGGGTTGACTTGCCTGTTGAAGCATATTGCAGTGAGATCGGCCTGCGAGAAAGGCGTGTCGGCAGGGTAGACCATCAGGATCTCGGGGCCGACGTCGACGTTGAAGTCGCACACGACGAAGGCGGTGGCCCAATGGCGGAAGGAGGCGAGCGAAAAGGAGGGGGCATGGCTGCTGCGCTTGCGGTGGTGGTGCATCATCTGCTTGAGCTTCTCCATGTTTATCGCCGCGGCAAGGCCCCCTATCGCGGTGACGCAGTGAGGCTTGCTCAGGCAGACGCGGCGGGCAGGGTCGAGGGCGCGGGGAGACAGGAGCTGCACATGGTCCCAGCGAGCACGGCGGGCACGGCGGGCACGGCGGGCACGGCGGGCGCAAATACTGGCGGGCGCAAATACTGGCGGGCGCAGGCAGCGGGCGGGCGGGCGCGCAGTCACGGTGGGCGGTGGTGGCAGAGGGAGTTGGGCCGGGGTGCGGAGCTGCGGCGGCGCGTTGCTTTGTCTGGCTGGGCGCGCGAAACGTCACAGGCTGCGCCCATTGGCCGGCGGCGCGCAGCAGGCCCTGCTCATGCTTGCGCATGCTTGCACATGCCGCAGAGCTGCATTATTCTGGTCACCACAGCAGACCAAGCGCTGAGTCTGCGCCTGTGCCTGCCCGGACAGATGCTGCGATAGCCACCACCAGCACGGCGCGAGAGACGGACGCCCTCGCTCTCCTCGACCCGACCGCCGCGCCTGGTCCGCTCCCCACTGCCACCCACCAATCCCGCCCAGCCACCTGCGCAATGCTGCCGTGAAGATGGACCCCAACATCCAGAAGGCCCTCAACGACAAGCTGTACGAGAAGCGCAAAGCTGGCGCCTTGGAGTGCGTATCCTGCCCGCGCCCGCCGCCTGCTCTGCCCGACCCCGCCGCTGACGCCGCCCTGCAGACTCGAAGCCCAGGTCCGCGAAGCCTTAGCCAACAAGGACCACGACAAGATCCAGCGCATTGTCTACCAGCTCTGCCACGAATATGCCTACGCCGTGCACCAGCCCCACGCCAGGAACGGCGGCCTCATTGGTCTCGCCGCCGCCTCGATAGCCTTGGGTAGTGTGCGTCGAGCTGCCCCCATCCCCCCGCCGCCTGCACCCTGCTAACTTTGCGCCCCAGGAAGTCGCGAGATACCTGGAAGAGATCGTCCCGCCCGTCCTCGCCTGCTTCTCCGACCAAGATGCCCGCGTCCGATACTACGCCTGCGAGAGCATGTACAACATCGCCAAGGTCGCCAAGGGAGAGATTCTGCTGTACTTCAACGAAGTCTTCGACGCGCTGTGCAAAGTAGGCCGCTGCTGCAATGCTGCCATCGCAGGCCGTCGCGCTGACAAGGTGCTAGCTCGCTGCCGACTCGGAGGCGTCTGTCAAGAACGGCGCCGAACTGCTCGACCGCCTGGTCAAAGACATCGTGTCCGAATCCGCCGCCTCCTACGTATCCATCCTACACCATCCCGAAGATGCCGTGGACGACGACTCCGCATTGGGCGGCTCTGCCACCGCGTCCGTCGACATGCAACCCGCCTTTTCCCTCCCCAAATTTATACCCCTCCTTCAGGAAAGGATCAACGTCCTGAGCCCCTTCACCCGCACCTTTCTTGTTTCCTGGATTACTTTGCTTGATTCCATACCCGATCTAGAGCTTGTGTCGTACTTGCCGTCTTTCCTCGGTGGCCTTCTCAGATTCCTCAGCGACCCGAACCAGGACGTGCATACGGCAACACAGACTGGGATGGAGAGATTTCTTTCCGAAATCAAGAAGATTGCCCGCATCAAGCGTGGTCTTGTTGAGAGCCGCAAGAGCCAGGGCGAAGAGGGGAAGAAGAGCTCCAGGTCCAGCATGAAGAGCGGAAGGAGCGCCCAGAGCTCTCGCGACCTCGAGGCAGACAGCGAAACCAACGTCGACGACGCTCCAGACTCGATCAGCGAAGGCACCGAATCCACCACCATGAATGACCGAGCATCGGGAACCACGGATGGCGATTGGATCCCGGGGCAGGATGTGCAAATCGATTACCCTAAGATTCTGGAGACGCTCGTCACGTACTTGAGCGATTCCCCAGGTACGCATATTCGTAACCGTGCGAGCAGCCCGCGCTTACAACCCACAGAGGAGGAGATCCAGCTCACTTGTCTACGCTGGATCGATAGCTTTTTTGAGATTTGCCCCGAGGACATTCTTCTGTTCGTCCCGCGCCTGCTCTCTCATGTGCTTCCCGCCATGGCGAATGACATCGAGCAGGTTCGCCTAGCTGCGAACAGAGTCAACACCTCGTTGATGGAGCATATTATGTCTCTGCCTGACGAAAACAAGACTGACAGTGCGAGGGTGACGCAGCTGCAGCTTTCATCGGGTGCACCCAAGGACGTTACAGATCGGCGCGAGTCCAACTACTCTCTCAAGGGCGGCAGGTCGTCGATGCGAGAATCCACAGTGGATCTCAAAGCAACTGAGGTAAAGCCGAAGCCTGAAGTGGAGCTACCTGCCCCAACTGATGGTGACGATGCTTCGACTTCGGCCCGGCCAGGTGCTGATCTGGATTACGAGGCCGCGGTCAATGCCCTGACCCTCCAATTCCTTAATGAGCACGAGGCAACACGTGTAGCCGCTTTGTCTTGGCTCATAATGCTTCACCGGAAGGCTCCTCGCAAGGTCAGTACCTCAAAACGTGCTCATGTCGGTATCCACTTACTAACACGCAGAAAAAGATTCTGGCAATCAACGATGCCACTTTCCCAGCCCTCCTCAAAACACTGTCGGACCCAGCCGAATCAGTTGTAACACGAGACCTTCTCTTGCTTTCGCAGATCTCCAAGAACAGCGATGACTCGTACTTCACCTCCTTTATGGTCAGTCTGCTAAGCTTATTTGCCACGGACCGGCGCCTCCTTGAGACCCGTGGAAACCTCATCATCCGTCAACTCTGCGTGTCTCTCAGCCCTGAGCGGATATATCGAACACTCGCCGACTGTTTGGAACGGGACGAGGACGTCGAGTTTGCCAGCATAATGGTGCAAAACCTCAATAACAACCTCATCACGGCGCCAGAACTCGCAGACCTTCGCAAGAGGCTGCGAAATCTCGAGACTCGTGAGGGTCAGGCATTCTTTGTCACCCTTTTCCGCTCCTGGTGCCACAATGCCGTAGCTACCTTCTCCCTGTGTCTTCTGGCCCAGGCATACGAGCAAGCCTACCATCTTTTGCAGATTTTCGGCGAGCTTGAGATGACGGTGAACATGCTCATCCAGATCGATAAGCTGGTCCAACTGCTCGAGTCACCCGTCTTCACCTACCTCCGCCTTCAACTTTTGGAGCCTGAGAAGTATCCCCACTTGTACAAGTGCTTGTACGGTCTTCTTATGCTGCTGCCGCAATCCTCGGCCTTTGCAGCGCTCAAGAACCGGCTCAACAGCGTCAGCGCGATTGGTTATCTACATATCGCGCCCCGAACGGCTCCTGCCCAAACAAGTTCAAGCTTCGACCGTCCCAACCGCCTGAAGTCACGCGAGGGAGAGGCCGGTATCAAGTGGCAGGAACTCCTCGAAAAATTCAAGCAGGTACAAGAACGTGCCCGCCGGGCTCAACGCAATGCCATGCTTGGCATTGACGGTTCTTCTGACGTTCCAGATGCCGGCAGCTCCTCGGGTGGGCAGAGCGGTGTCGGTCTGGGTGGAAGCGCCCAGGACACTCTCAAGGGACGCCTGCATCCCAGGGCCGCTTTGGGTTTGCAGACTGGCAACCTGCCGCAGCGACCTTCCTCTGCACAAAGTATGACGAGGCCCGGGCTGGGTGCGGATCAAGGACCCACAAAGCCGCCGGTCCAAGGCCACCAGAAGAGTAAGAGCAGTTTAAGTCAGCTGGGAAGGTTCACGAGAGGTGTTGGACAGGTGTCGAAGGGCAAAAAGTAGCAGCGCTCATGGGGCTGCCGTTGGGTTGGTCGTAGGAGGCGATTGCGAAACCATCTCAAAGCATCCGACCAGGAGTAAGAGGCATTTGTTGATGATGCGTTTATTGGTCATGAGGTGTGGTAGGAAGAAGCTGATCGGCGACGATCATGCTCTGCAGAGCTTTCTACCTTCCTTGTACACTCTTGACTTTCCAATTTTTCTCGGGCTTGTGTTTGGGCTTCTCGTAATATCGTTTTCTGTTTTCACTTTATCTTTTATACATCGAGCTTTCGTTTACTACTACGAGTGGCAATGTCGGTATTATATGTCGCATGAGTTAATGAGCTACGATCGAGTCGTGCTGTACAATCGATACCAACACCAAAAAAAAAAAAAAGCAGCTACCTCTTCGTCCGTCGGCGTTTCTTAGACTTGTGCTTCCCCTTCTCATCTTTCCACACCTGCTCTCCCCCTGATGGCCAAGGTTGCCGGGAAGCATTCATCAGGTAAGCAGGCATGCTTAAAAGTATATTGGTCCTCCTTTCCTATGTGACGCTTGCAATCGCGAGGGTAAATGGACATGTCTGGACTGTAGGCCAGTATTCTCAATAGCTACTAGGAGAAAATGCGATTATCTTCTTGCTACTATGACCACAGGAGGAGCACGCAACCCTCACCAAAGCTTCCCTGCGGCCAGATATATGAATACAACACAAAGAACGCCCTCCCAATGCCAATACGTGAAACCCAGTTTCGTTCAAGGGATGAACCCCGGAAAAGCGCCACCGCTGAAAGGCAGAAGCTTGATGCAATAAGTGCTTACAGAAGAAAAAGAAAGCAAAACGCCAAAGACGAGAAAGACGACCCGTTTTCACACAATTATTCACAGCCGGCCGGCGTCAAGCTAACAAGCCAACCCGGCCCTCATGTTCTCGACTGACTTGAGGCCGACGCCCTTCAGGCCGCCCAGCTGCTCGAGATCCGTGATCAGCCAGTCGTCGGCACCACGACCGTCCATCTCGCACAGCGAGTTGACAATGGCTTCGGCCTTCTTGGCGCCGACGCCCTTCAGCAGTCGGATCTGCGACACCTCGCGCGTGTTGATGATGTCGAGCAGGCGCTGGGTGCGGGGTGTCAGGCTAGCGCCGCCCGTCGCTGTCGAAGAAGACATGTCGAGGCCGCTGTTGTCGCGGAAGATCTTCATCTTCGGCTTCTTGGGCGCTTTGGCTTTGGGCTTGTAGACGAAGCTGTCTTCCTCCTCATGGAAGTCCGAGGCCGCGCCGTCATCGTCGGGGACAAACGAGTCGTCATGGCCGTCTAATTTGGCCTCAGAGGCGTCGTGGTCATCGTTGCGTGTATTTCGGGAGGCGGTCTTCTCCTTCCTGCTCGAGAGCTTCCGGGCGACAGGACGAGTAGGTGCGGCGGATGGTCGCTCTTTTGGCGCAGAGATGAATTCCGGTTCTGGCCTCCTAAGAGGCTGCTTCGCTAAGGCGGAAGGACGGGTGGGGGCAGGCATATGGCTCGGCTCTACGGATTCGGAGGCTGGCTCGGATGGAGCCGAAGCGTTCGCGGCTTCCTTCTTCAATCGAATTCTCTCCTGTAGATTGACGATCTTCTGGCTGAGCTTCTCGTTTTCCGGGAAATGCGGCAGAGCCAGCTGGTACATTTTGAGCGCAGAGACGTCTTCTCCACGAACGTGATGTTGCTTGGCCATGAGAAGGAAGTGCAGACCTTCCGCCCGGCCATCTTCTGTTTTGCCGACGCGCTCTTCCAAAGCCTCCAACCGCTGTCTCACTGCTTCACTGACATCCTGGGTCTGAATAGTGGAGGATTCGTTTAGAGCACGCTCCGCCAACTTCTCCTCTAACCGACGTTCAATGAGCGCTTCGATTGCTTCCTGCGAGAGACTGGTCGGCAAAGGCGTTGGCTTGCCGTAGCCTGAGCTGTGCACTGGCCTAGCGGGCTTGGTAACCTTCGACCCAAGCGTGGAATGGGTGATGCCGCGCTTCAGAGGATCTGGGCGGGTTGTCGATGCTGGCTTCGCGGTCTTATGTTTGTCCGAGTATACAGAGAAAGCCTTGGCTGGCTTGTCAATCTTCTTCTGCTGCGCGTGGTTGTGTGAAATGTTTACATTCGTAGCGGCTGCTAATGCTCGGAGTGGCTGGCGCTGCTGCAGACTCGTGCCAGAGATGCTAGACGTCGTCTTGGGTGGTCCGCGCAGGACAGCTTCGTTTTCGACTTCGGCGACTTCAATCTTCTTGGTCCGATTGGCGAAGTTGAGCGAGCTAAGGGTATCAAGGTGGTATGAGCGCACTGGCGCGAGGTTTAGAACCATGAGAGTGAGGCCGTTGTTCTGGCCCAAAGATAGAATGCGGGTCATCTTGGACTCCCTGTACGGTATCCTGGAGTGCTTCTTGCTGATGGCCTCAACACACTGGGCCAGCACGAACAGAGACTTGTTGATTGCGGAAGACTCGACCAAACGTTCCCGGTTGTTATCTGTTCTCCGGTTGTCCTCAGATCCAGCAAGGTCGATACAGGAGACTTTGGAGACGCGGGTATGGGTTGGCGTTGTTTGCGTGACTTGCACACATAGTATAGCGTGCGATCGGGACGAGTGAGCATTGAGCTTGGTTGCAGACGTGGATCGGTTCAGATTGGCCTCATCGTAGAGCTTCTCAAAATCTTTCAAGGTGGTGCAGGGCCTCTCGGTGAGACCAACGACTACGGTTTTCCCATGGTTGTCCCGAATTGGCAAGCCAGCTGGGGTGCGCTTTTCCGGGGGCTCGAAAAGGTCGTATACACGGTCGTTGTAGATTTCATAATAGCTCAGCGCCACTTCGACCTGGGTTCCTCCATCCTTTTCTAGCTTCCTACAGCGGCGGTATATGGAACTGAGGAGGCGAGGGATGACTCCGCGGTCGGCCAAGGATTTGCCGCCACGCATGGTGTGGGTCTTGCCGGTGCCAGTGACGCCGTAGGCGAATATCGTGACATCGAAGCCGTTGAAGATGTGCTTGACGGTGGGCGAGACTGCATGATGGTGGATCAATGGCAGGGTCCTGCAACTGGGAGCGCGCGGACAACATACCCTCCTTGTCAAACAGCTCTTGCTGGGTGGTGGCGCGGTCATAGACGCCCTGGAACTGAAAACTGAAGGACTCGGCCTCGTTCTTCGGATTGGGAATTCGGATGAGGTTCGGCAGCGAGTTCTCGTCTCCAGAAGCGCTCTCGGCAGTAACAATGGTGTCCTTGTCGCGCTCGTCCTTGAGCAGGGGTCGTATACGGGCAAGCACGCGGACGCTCATGGTGGCGGCGGGCAATGGAGGAAGTCGGCAGAGGAGAGCGACGAGAAGGGAGAAGGCAATTGATGGAGAAAACAAAGCAAAATGCCCGTGACGGGCAGACTTACCGTTGGCGTAGGGCGCAGTGGTGGAGAGCCAGGGCGGCGGTCGAGCTTGCGCGGGCTGTTTGCGGGCGGGTTTGCGGGTTTGCGGCCAGTTGCGCGGAGCAACTATCGATACGCCGCACGTGCTGCCACTCGGCTGCCACTCGGCTGCCACTCGGCTGCCGCGCCTGCTCAACACCAGCTCGCCCTCTGTCTACTGCCTAGGTACTGCCTACTGCCCGCTGCCCCACTGCCGACGACATGCACCACGGCGCTTCCCGCATGCGCTGCGATAACATACAGAACATGCACGGCATCCCGACAGCTGCCCGGTCACCTGCACGGCCTCTTCGAAATAGCCTGCACGTCGTACAGTCGGGATGCCGGCGCCTAAGTATCGAGGCGCGCGTCACCCGACGAGCGCGCTCAGCCATCCCACGTCCCCAGCGCCGCAGCTGCCGACTTGAGCCAGGCCTGTCCGGCGCGAGGCCTTGGGCCCGGGCGATGCGGACGGAGCGGCCCCGGCCGGCATGCAGCGACACGCTGTCTGCCAATGCGCAGCAGCGGCGGCGACGGCGTTGGGCGTGGTGGGCTCGGCGCCATGGATGATGGGCGGCGCGGTGTTTCTGTTCTTTTCTACCGTACGGCGTCGAGGCCGGGGCGCAGCTTCTAGAAGGTCTCTTCGACGTGGTCGTGGAGCTGGCGGCGCTATGGACGGCGTTTCACGCGCCGGCCAACCACAGCGCGTCGTTGGGCGTAGCCGGGCGGGTTTTGAAGGCGAGCCGCCCCGATCCCGTTTCACCAGCTCCACTCGGCCTCCAAATAGCCCCATGTCTTCCGTGCTGGCGGTGTCTTGCCGGACTGGCCCAGCCAGTGCTTGTGTCGCTGCTATTTTTGAGTAAAACGGCGGTTAATTCGTTCCTTCAAAACCCGCCGTCTGGAACCTCCTCCTGCATGGCTTTCGTCGCGCACTAGGCCGGCTTGTAGACCGATCGCCTTTCCTTTTGTCTCCAGTCTTCGCCATTAATACCCGCGCTGCTCTTCGTCGATCTTTCCTGGCTTCGTTTTCGCCTTCACATCGTCTTTCTCATAGACCACTTTCTTTCGCCAGCCAGCTTGCTGTCTGCTGTTTTGCTCTTCTTCCCTTTCCTGGGCTGGTTTCTCAGGCCTCATTCTTTCTTTCCATCCTCTTTCTTCGCCCAGTCATGGGCTTCACTGTGAGATGTCTGCTGCTGGCAGCGCTGTCGGCCTCTGCTGTGGCCGGCCCACTCCCTCAGGCTGCCCGGAGAGTCAAGTGAGTCTGTCCAAGTCCCTGACCGTGCAGTGTCCCACTAACACATCAAAGCCATCCCAGATACTTGAACTCTTCTTCACCCGTCGTTGCAGCTGCCTACTCCTCAGGCACGCCCCTCGCAATAAGTACACCGTCCACTCCTCCGGGAGTTCAGGCTGCGGACACTGGCATTCCTTTTGTTGTGCCAGTCACCCTCCCTAGTACCAGTACGCCCGCCCCAACTGTCTTCACCTTCGTGGATCCCTCTGGCTCACCAGTTGCCACAGTCGATATCTCGGCAACCCCCGAGACCACTCAGGTCGAGTCTTTGGTTTCCGCAGAGACCAGCCCTTCGGGTACCACTACGACAACCCCGGCACTGACTCCTCTAACGCCCGTTGTCACCCCGTCCACATCTGCGGCGCCTGCATCCTCGGGTCCGGGTGGTTTCGTAGGCCCTGAGGTCTCCGTCTCGGAGTCGGCATCCACGACTCGCTTGTTTACTTACAATCCTTCAACTCCCGCTGTCACACCGGATCACAACTCGACCGCATCCACTTCTCCAGCAGCCAGCACACCCGGGATCAACACGCCCTCGGACACCCGTCCTTTCACGTATTCACCTCAAACGCCTTCCACCCCGAGCAGCAGCCCCCTTAGCTCTTCTCCCCTGACGCCTTCGGCACAGAGCAGCCAAGCCATCAGCTCCTCGCAGACCACTCCTGCGGCCCAGACGCCAACGACCCTGCCTGTCGTAGTGACTCCCAGCACACCGGTGCCCAACACTTCAACCTCCAGCTCTGCCGTTAGCTCTGTCCAATCAAGTGCAAGCAGCTCCGCAGCAAGTGCGTCGACTTTTGTTTCAGAACCGGGTGTGTTGTACCAAACAACAACCATATACACCATTGTTACCCCTGCTGCTCAGGCAGCTTCCGCCGACTCTCCTTCAACGCTGCAATCTTCGGCTCAATCTACGACACAGGGGTCTTCCGCGACGTCTTCACCGTCACAGCTCCCTGGAGTCCTTTACACGACAATCTACACGACTGTTCGGCCCAACGCTGCATCAGTGACGACATCTGCTGAATCGTCAACCATCCTGTCCAGCACGACCCCTGCGTCGTCTTTGGAGTCCAGTACGCAGCACACTGAGACGAGCGCCGCTCAGACGAGTACTGCTGACACCAGCACCGTCTTGCCTAGCACTGTCGAGACGAGTGCCACGTCCACGTTCACTGCCTCACCTTCGTCTTCTGCAGCGCCCTCGTCATCTGAAAGCCAAAGCAGCACCAGGACGGCCCTGGGGGCCTCTTCGACTGCCCTTTCAAGCACTGAGAGCACGCCGACTTCATCTGAAACGTCCACGCCTGTGCCGGCCCCAGTCACCACTTCAACGTCTTCTGAGGGTCCCGGTATCACGGTCATCCCTGTAAACCCAAGCATCTCTACCGTATTCCTGACAAGTACTGTCACGGAGAAGGAGACCGTTACCGAGACAGCCACTGTCAAGGAGACCGTTACTGTCAAGGCGTGATCGCAGGTAAGCCGGGCAGGAGAGGGGCACTGATCTCAGAAGACAGCGATGATAAAGCAAAGATGATGATATATGGAGCAAAGATAGTCATGAGATCACGCAAGAGATGGCAAATTTGTTAGAAAGCGATGAGGAAAGTCCTGATCATGCATCTGGGATGCAGATCAGCCACCCGTTACAAAGACCGGTCCATGTTTGAATTTCGTTTGATTCCCCATTCACGTAGAAGCGCCTGTAATCTCTTAAGGTAGATCCTTAATATTTAATGAAAGTTGCTGTACAGAAATGGCATAAGTTGTACAGATGCTCTTTCGCATGCACTCGGAAAGAACTGTGCCGTAATGTCCCAAAACGCCACCAACTTTTTTCCGATCGCGATGTTGAGTATAATACAAAGGTCTTGGAACCCATAGTCTATGATGAGCTCTTGAACGAAGCTCCAGGAGCCTCGTTATCGCTGCCGGTGTTCTCCGTAGTAGGAGCCCGTGGCGCAGCAGGTGCGTGTTTCGTCTGCGAGCCATCGTCCCAAAGCTCAAGGTCACCATCTTCGCTAAGATGTCCACGCTTGACTAGCTGTCCCTTATCCCTCATGATATCCTCAAGTGTGGTGCTCTGGTCGGCGAAGATCTGGTCAGGTGGTTGTTAGCAGCGCATCGGAACCTGGCATCAGGCGCATGGTCACGAACCTTGAGATGATCAGAGATCAGGTGCCGGTTCTTGCAGCCCGGACACGAGATCAGCACTGTGCCATGGTGGTAGCCCTGTTTGGAGATCCTATGCGATGATCTTGTGGTGCAGGCCTTGCAGGTGAAGGTCATCTGGTATTGCGGAACCTCCTGCTTCTCGCCCGGCGGCGCAGCAGCAGACTCGGAGCACCTTGCGGTGGTGGAGAAGGCATGGCGACACAGGTGCGGTATGAATGCTTGCGGCCGAAGCGACAGACTTTGGGGACGACGGATGTGTGAGAGGTCTTGATGAATGCGGCGCACGGAAGTGGGCGCGGCGCGCGGCGCATTGGCGAGCGAGCGAGAACGCGAACAAAGGCGGATGCACGAACGAGCGGGTCGCATGGTCGGTTCCGACAGGAGTGGTACGGGCTCTAAAGCAGGTAAAGAGCTGGGCTCGCGGGATTGGTGTTGCGGCTGGGGGTAGGAATAGTGCTTTGCACGGGCGACAGCCTACAGAGCTCTCAAGCTAATGCAGCGGCTGTGCGCCTTCCGTCATCATCGGCCAGGGTCCATCAAAAGAACTAGTGGCCCCTCGAAACCTGTTGCGCAACGCCACTGGGCGGCAACCCTTCCTCCGCACCCAGTGGACGTGCACGGCGAGTTCCACGCTCTCGGTCTCTACCACCACCTCGATACCTCCATCCGCTCCAACCTCAGCCGCCACACGCGCTCCGCCAGCCTCTCAAGCCAACTCGGCCATGAGCTTGCGCCGTTGACCGCCCCACGCAAAACTCATTCGTTTCTTCAAACGACCTGGCGCTCGTTCGTCAACCTTCAGCCCACGCGTTCCGCGCTGACTCTCGCCGCGCCCCGCCGATACTTTCAGAGCTCAGCACGCTCGCCACACCCCGACTCTGGGAGCTTTCTGAAACACCCGACCTCTCCTCACGACACCTTTGGCCATGTATCCTAAGCCAGGAAGGCAGGGCAAGATTCGTCCCCCACGCAGAGTGAGTCTCACTTTCGCTGGTAGCTGGCGCAGACGCCTGCCCTTCAGCGCATCTGCCATGCCAGCCTCACCCACACTCGGATACTCAGTGGCTTAAACACGCCTTGGTTTTCGATTTCACCACTTTGCGAAAGAAATGTCTAACGCTACAAAAGGGCCTGAACGGTGGTGACGAGAGCTTCGAATCGACCTGGGGCACAATATCCAGCGCAATCCGCCAAATCCACACCAAGAATGCCTCCGACCTCTCATATGAAGCCCTCTATAGGCACACGTATCGCGTCATTTTGAAGAAGAAAGGCGAGCAGCTTTACCAGAGCGTACTGCAGTTCGAGAAAGACTGGCTATGCAACGAGGTGAAGGCAAGGGCGGCTCACTTGGTCTCAAGCAGCCTAGTGGCAGACCTACAGGCGGGCAATGCCAACACCACCGCGAACGAGCGTCGCGTTGGTGGAGAAAGGTTTCTAAAGGGCATTCGCGAAGAATGGCAGGATTATCAACTCTGCATGAGCATGCTTACGGATGTGCTGATGTATATGGTAAGTCTCGCTGCACGCATAATCATTCGAGACCTTATATTAATTCCTAGGAGGAGCGTGTTTACTGCGCGGACCATCGACAACCCTCCATTTATACTACCTCGCTGATGCTCTTCCGCGACAACATCCTTCGCTCGCCGCCGAGCCCGAGCCACTCCGATTTGACAGTGCAAGACCTCCTCAATCGCATCATCCTGGACCAGATACACATGGAGCGTAATGGCGACGTTATCGACAAACACCTCATCAAGTCCTGCGTGTACATGCTGGAGAGCTTGTACGAGACCATGAAAGAAGACTTAAACCAGCGCCTGTACGTCACTGCGTTCGAGCAACACTTCCTGGACGCAAGCCGAGACTTCTATCGGGCCGAAGGCGACACTCTACTGCGGGAGTCGGACGCGGGTGCATACTGCAGGCACACATCCAGGAGACTGCGCGAAGAAGTGGATCGCTGTAGGTCCACGCTATCGGAGACCACTAAGTCCAAGATTGAGCGCGTTGTTGAGGAAGAGCTCATTGAGAACAAGATTCATGATCTTATCGAGTCCGAGAGCGGTGTGAAGTTCATGGTCGACAATGAGAGGATTGAAGAGCTGGGGCTGATCTATGATCTGAACGCTCGCGTGGATCCCAAGAAGGCAGAACTTGTCCGTGCTATCCAGAATCGCGTGGTGGAGATGGGTAACGAAATCAACCAAGCAACGACGTCAGCGGCATTTGCACCCCCTGTGCCGCCGGAGAATGGCGAGGATGGCGAAAAGGGGAAGAAGGCCGTTGCGGACAAGGCCGTGAACCAGCAGACGGTGGCTGCCATCAAATGGGTCGAAGACGTTTTGGCGCTCAAGGACAAGTTTGACCTGATCTGGAAACGAGCCTTCGACTCGGACCAAGCAATGCAGACCGCCCTGACACGCAGCTTTGCCGAGTTCATCAACTCGTCTTCTTTCCCCAGGAGCTCCGAGTACATTTCTCTCTTTATCGACGAGAACATGAAGAAGGGCATCAAGGGCAAGACGGAGAGCGAAGTCGACGTTGTCTTGGAAAAGGCCATTACCCTGCTCCGGTACATCGCCGACAAGGATCTCTTCGAGCGCTACTACAAGAAGCATCTCTGCAAGCGTCTCCTCATGGCCAAGTCTCTGAGCAACGATGTCGAGCAGCAGATGATTTCTCGCATGAAGATCGAGCTCGGGAACAATTTCACTTCGAAGCTGGAGGCCATGTTCAAGGACATGACCATCTCGGAAGAGCTCACTTCCGGCTTCAAGGCCTATGTCGCCAATCTGGGAGATCCTGACCCGAGGCGCATTGAGCTCACAGTAAACGTACTTACAAGCATGACTTGGCCTCTGGAATCGATGGGTAGTGGCTCCAACGAGGATTTGGACGGGAAACGCACCAAGTGCATCTTCTCTCCCGCAATCGACAGGATCAAGAAATCGTTCGAGCAGTTTTATGGAGAGAAACATTCCGGGCGGGAGCTTAGTTGGCTGGCCAACATGGGATCTGCCGACATCCGGGCAACGTTCCCCAGGGTGCCAACCAAAGAAGGGGTGAAGGAGCGCAAGCACGAACTGAATGTATCGACTTACGCCATGGTCATCTTGCTGTTGTTCAACGACCTCGCCGACGATGAAGGCTTGACCTTTGAAGAGATCCAGGCCAAGACCAACATCCCCAGCCACGATCTCATCCGCAACCTGCAGTCTCTGGCCGTTGCTCCCAAGACTAGAATCCTGATCAAGACCCCGATGAGCAAAGACGTCAAGCCTTCGGATAAGTTCTTATTCAACCCAGGCTTTGTGGGCAAATTCCACAAGCTCAAGGTCGGAGTTGTCACGGCCGGTAACAAGGTAGAAGGCGACAAAGAGCGCAAGGAAACGGAGAAGAAGAACAACGACTCCCGAGGCTTCTGCATCGAGGCCGCCATTGTTCGTATCATGAAGTATGTCCTTTCGACTCGAGGTTCTTGACAGGACCGATATAATAGCGGCGGCTGACTATTCGACAGGCAACGGAAGGAACTCACCCACCAGAACCTTGTCGTCGAGACACTCTCAATCCTAGCTAATCAGTTCAAGCCGGATGTGAACATGATCAAGAAGCGAGTTGAGAGCCTCATCGAACGTGAATACCTGGAGCGTATCGAAGATGCCTCACCTCCGGCATACCGCTATCTCGCTTGATCTGGCATCCAGGTAAATGGGTTTTTTTGCCATTATGGCGACTTCATGACGCTTGCCGTTACTCATCGCTCCACTGATGAATACTTCAGCCCAGCATCAAAGCTTCTGCTCACCTTGCAGTTGAAGTGCCGCTCTAGGGAAAAGGCTTTTCTTCTCAAATCTCCACAGCTGCAGCTGGCTACTTTTTCCTTTTCGGTTGGCCAGGTTCCATCATCTCTCCTTCGATTCTGTCGGTATTTGTTTCTCTTTTCCTTTTTCTCACATGACAAGTCCGTGGGTCATTTTGGCGGTTAATTGCATCGGGTCAGGGCATTGGCGTAAGGGATTGAGGAGATGCCACGCATCTTTGAGGCTTTTCTTCCAGCTCGAATATCCGCCTGTTGTAGCGGAGGCAACGCTCTGGTTATCCCCAGGCCACGCTTCCCATGCAGATAGGCTTTGCTCCATTAGCGTTGCGCGTCTTGATTTCAAGTCTAGCGTCCACGGCAAAAGGTTTGGTGGTGTAGAGGCCTGGACAGGCTGGGCAGACAAGAGAGGGACTGGATCACCTCCAAACATAAAACTGGTCAAGACCGGGACTAACGACGGCATGACCGGACGAGGAGGGTTAAGGTATATTTGGTAATGAAAAGAGAGGCTAAGGCCCCTACTCACCCTTGCTCAGTTGAACGTTCTCCTCAAGTTTGGCTTCTGGTTTCTACGATAGACTTTGAGTACAGTAGACCTTGGCCATTACACCAAGTGTGGCTCACTGCTGCCCGCTTCTGGCCACATCAACCGCATAGCATCGTCGCAAGTATGCACCAAACATAGTCGACGTGGCTACATTCTCTGAGCAAGTGATCCTCAGAGTTCTCCAGCTACCAGTGAGGTGCACGCCAGCGGGCACACATGCACCGCACCGCACCGCGTCGCATCGCATTGCGCAAGGGGCTTGCAGTCACTTTGACGATGGCAGGCCGAGCGTTTTTCTGCAGCACATCAGCGGCTAGATCTGCTCGGCGGGCGCCCTGGTACCGCTGTCGCACTGCAATCTCCCACATGAACCTTGTGCTGCATATGCAACGTGCCCTCGGCCAGCCTCCCCCCCACCTACTCTAATCTAACAGAGACCTCTTTTTTGACAGGTACAGTGCATGCTGTTGCATGTGTGTACATACACGGTGCTGCAAGCCCCTCCTTTTGCTACCTCGATCTGATTTATTGCGATCCTTTGCTCAAAGGCCGTCCTGTACGCGCTCTCTCGCATGTACATACGTACATGCCGCCATACCACACCTCTTGAGCTTTTTTCTTTTCCTCCCCCTCCCTCTTTCCATCCCATGACCACAGGCGGTGAGACTACACACATGACGACAGCATGCCGTGTGGAGTTTGGGGTTGCCGGCGTGCATGGTGCTCGAGAACATACAAGGTGCAACGTGCACAGCTCATGGCAGAGGGCAGGCTGGATGAAGGGGAGTCATGTGTGCAATGCGTGGGGTGGCGCGCGTAGGTATGCGGGATAAAGAGTGGAATGGTGGTCGGGATGACTTGCCCATAATTCACCTATATCAGCAACGTGTTGATCCTCGTTGAACTACTCCACCCGCCAATGATTTGCGCCGGTCTCGCGACAACTTCGAACGTAGCGGCGTATTTCCTGCCTGAAAGGGGCGGGACGTTGGTCGTGTGGGGACGGGACGGGGGCGGGCGGGTTCTTGTTTTTGCCCTTCTGCGCGGGCGGAGTATTATTCATTGGCGCCGCGTCGGTGTTTCCCTCGTAGGTTCGCGGCGCTCGAGACGGTCGAGACGGGAGGACGGATGGGCTTGGCCGTGGCCTCGCCGGGTGCTCACTCGGTGGCACATGGCGGTCTACAGGCGTCACGTCGCGGCCATGGCGTTGCGGGAGGGCGTTCTGGGTGCAAATTAAGCTGTCTCTTGGGACGTTGCGGCATGCCGGCAATGGGCAGCGGCGGCGATGATCCGCCGAAAGGGTCCCGCAATCTCATGAAAGCTGCCGAGCGGTGGAAGAGCAAACGTCGCGGCGAAATTATTGCTGTGTACGGAGTACGGGGCTCAGGTTGGCAAATCCGATGCTCCAGGAAATGCGTGGCGCCGTGTGCCGTCTGCCGTCTGCCGTCGCGCCTTGCCTCGTAGGGCTGACGGGAGGCCCGGCGTCTTCTTCTCGTACTTCTCGTACAGCCCTACGGTACAGCGCAGCAGCGCGCGGCGATCGCCCCCTCAACCCACCACGCGCTCCGCTATCGAGTCTTGACATGAGCCCAAAAAAGAACGGAGACGACGACCGTGGGCTCCAGCGAGTGCTCCGTGCAAAGAACGAAGAGTCGAAGACATGCGCTGGACTCGTGTTCTGGGCCCAACGGCTCACTCGAGCACCAGCTCCCGTTATTGCGATCGCCGCGTTGCGTCCACTCGGCTGATGAGAAAGCGTCCGGCAGCTCAGCACTCATCTGCACGCTAAAGCTGCCAGCGCCTTGGACGTGCGAGCGACCGACGGCGATCGTGCGAGGCTTCGCGTTGTGCTTTGTTTCCGCTGCATGCATGTTATGTGTGTATCTTGCGTTGGCGTCGGCGTCGGCGTCGGCCCAACCCAACCCGACATGTTGCCTGCATGCGCTGTTGGCCGTAGGTACCTTGCAACCAACGTGGCCGAGCAGATGCGATCTTGGGGTAGGCGGTAGTGTCTCACTTGTCGCATGGGTTGCTTTGCGTTTGGCACTTTGGGTTTTGTTTCCGATGCGGCTTGACGTCGACGTCGACGCTGCAAGACCCCCCATACTTGCTTGCCCGCTCCCCCCCTCCCACAGTACGCAGTATAGCGCAGGCGCGCAGAACCATGGAGAGATCCGCCCCACTGCTGCTTTCCTGGGTGCATCAGGGAGGCGGGCTGGGCTGGGCCGGGGCGAGGGATCTAGGAACGGGCAGTGACATGTCTCGGCCACAGCGAAGACGAAGACCCTCTCTGCATCTCGAACGGTCGGTGGAGAATGGCGGGCGGGAATGACGAGGTGGAGGGGGGTTGAAACATGCTATGGAAGAGCGGGACGCACCCAGGCCGCGAGAAACATGCACGGCGCTGCACGTGAAATGTGAAATGCGAAATGCCAGCTGGACGAGAGAACTCGAGGGGAGCGCATGCGGAGGCGGCAGTGGCCGACGCGTACTCGGTAGGAGCAGTGCGGTATGGCGGTCTGCTCAGGGGGGCAGGCGCAGCAGAAGGAAGGTTCTTGGGGAGTGCGTGGCTTGGTGGTGTGGCCTTGCAAGCGGATCTGCTTGCGTGCTCTGAGCTTGGCGGTTTGGCGAGGGGATGATGGCCGGGCGATCCAACGCCCATCGCGCCCACCTCACGACAACGGCATACTAGGTAATGACAGTCGCCAGCCCGCCAGCCCGCCAGCCCACCCGCGCTGCAGAGGCGCCCGCGGACAGCAGGTGGTGGCTCCGGCCCCGGCCCCAGGGCTGAGCGGCTGAGGTGCAGGCTGCCAAGGTTTCAGCACGCGGTCCTCCGTATTTTGTGCGCACAAAGCGAGCGAGATGCGCACAGCGCGCAGCGCGAGGCGGGCGGGCGCCGGCCATAGGGCCGCTCGCCGCCGCCCGCGCCAAAGGGCGAGACTCGTGGCACCCGGAGATTGAGGCCCGTCGCTGGCTGGCCGAGTCGTGCGCTGTCGTGCGCTGCTTGAGATTGGAGCCGCGCGCTCGTCGCCGGCTCCGCCGCCAGCCGCCAGCCGCTTGCGCGGCGAGCACCTATGGACGCGGCGGCCGACGGCACCGTGACTGCGTTGCTGGTGTTGGCCTCGTAAAAACCTGACCTAAAACCATGCGAGCGGCGCGGCGGCGGCGGCGGCGATTGGCAGGCGCGCGGCCAGTCACAGCGCGCAGCAGGGCGGCCGGGGCAAACAGCCAGTGGCGGGTTAGCGTCAGGTACGCGGACGGGTTCCTGGCTGGGCGTGACGGGATGCGCAGGCTGCACGCCCCCTGATCACTGCGTCCAGACCAGCGGCCCTGGGCGGTTGGCTCCGCCGCCGTGGGCTCCAGCGCCGGTGGCTTGCCGGCGTGCGACGCTGAAACAGTACGACTGCCTTCTCTGGCCGCGCCATCCTTGCTCAATATCGATTCGTGCCAGATGCCCGCCCGTCTATATATCCAGCCCGGCCTCCCCCCGCCCACTCCGCCCACCCGCTCTCCACACCGTGTTATCGCAGTCGTTCTTTCTGAGCTCCCGTGCTCGTCCTCTCATTGTCACTTTCGGCAATTCGCTCTCTAGTTCGCGATAGCCCTGGTCGGCTTGCTTCTGCTCGCCTTCGCCCCTCCGTCTCCCCCACCACTTCGCCGTAGACGCCCGATTTCACCATGCAGTACCGCTTCAACGAACTGGCCCTCCTGGCCCTCGCCGGCTCTGCCCTGGCCCACCAGCCGCACCAGCACAAGCACGCCAAGCTCCACGAGCGCCGTCTGGCTGCTCCCTATGGCATGGGCAACGACACTCTTCCCGCCGGCCCTACTGGCGGTGTCGCGCCGCCTCCCCAGGATTCGACCGTCACCCAGCTCATGACCGCCACTGTCCACGCCACCCAGCTGTACACCCAGAGCGCCCCCTCGGCCGCCGCCAACCCGATCCAGGCTGCTGAGGTCGATGCCGAGTCCGTCGATGCCGCCTCCTCCTCGGGTGCTGCCCTGACCACCGACGCCGAGACCTGCGACGAAGTCACCGTCACTGTCACCAACGCTCCCGTCACTGTCACCGTCACCGCTGCTGCTGGTGGCGTCGCTTCGTCGGCCGCCTCGAGCTACGTCGCGCCCTCGTCCGTTGCTGCTCCCTCCTCCTTCGTCCTTCCCGGCAGCTCCAGCACCGTCGAGATCAGCACCGAGGCCGCTGCTCCCGCTCCCACCGCCGCGAGCTCCTCTGTCTACGTCGCTCCCTCGAGCGCTCCCGCTGAGACTGTTGAGGCTATCTCCAGCTCCAGCTCCAGCGCCGTCTATGTTGCTCCCACCACCTCTGTGGCTGCCTCTTCGGCGCCTGCCTCTTCGGCGCCGGCTACCACTGTTGCTCCCTCGAGCACTGTCGCTGCCACGACCTCGTCGACCTCCTCCAGCGCCGCTGCTACCAGCTCTGCCGCCACCGGCGTCACCGGCGTCACTGACAAGCGTGGTCTCGTCTACAACACCTTCACCGGTATTGTCGACCAGTTCACCTCCAGCCAGATCTCCTGGGGCTGGAACTGGGCTCAGACTCCCGGCGGCACCATGCCCGATGGTGTCGAGTTCGTTCCCATCCTTTGGGGTAACCGCGAGACGGATGACCTCGCAAACTGGAAGAGCAACGCCGAGGAGCAGATCTCCAGCGGCTCCACCCACCTTATGGGCTTCAACGAGCCTGATGTTGACAGCTCTGGCGGTGGTTCCAACATGGCTGCCGACGTCGCTGCCTCGGTCTACAAGGAGTACATGAACGACTTCGCCAGCAAGGCCAGCCTCGTCTCCCCCGGTGTCTGCAACGGCGAGGGTCTTCGCGAGTCCACTGGCCGCAACCAGGGTCTTGACTGGCTCCAGGACTTCTACGATGCTTGCGGTGGCTTCACCGACTCGGGCTGCAAGGTCGACAAGATCAACATCCATTGGTACTCTTCGTACCAGGGCGACCTTGACAGCACCATCTCGTACTTCAAGGAGTACGTCGAGAAGGCCTACAACAAGTTCAGCATCAACCTTTGGATCACCGAGTACCAGCTCCAGAATGCCGACGACGCCACCCAGGAGGAGTTCATCACCAAGACCTCCGAATGGATGTCGTCGCAGACCTACATCGAGCGCTACTCCTACTTCAAGGCCGAGAGCATCGTCGGCAGCTCCTCCCTCATGTCCGCCTACACCTCGTAAGCGGCGTTTAAATAACTAGACGATGGCTTTGAATACGGTTGCATCAGCAGATGTGGCAAGCATTTAGCAACTGGGCCAGGGATTTGGGTACTTTCAATGGCGCGGATATCAAAGATGTGGGATACTCTTCGGTGTGCTTTTTTTTTTCGGGCAGCCGTGATCATCAGGCGCCACATACAAATTTCATTCCTCTTGTGTTGATAATTTTTGATAGCCAACCTTTTTTCTCTATACTCTTCAGTCCCGCTCTTGTAGATTTTCTGAGGGAAGGGAAATTACCGCACCTGTAACGAGCTACGACACTGCATCGAAGCAACAAATTTTTAGTAACTTTTTCAAAAACAAACTTCTCGTCGACTGTTCGTGCCCTGCTAGCCGCCGCTAAGCGTTTTGTGCGTTCAAGTGCCACGCGCCGCTCCAGCTGGCACTTCACCAATGACGAGCTTAAGGGGCCGGTCTCCTGGCTCCGCTGATTTCCACCTCAGGCTCGGGAAATTGCAACTACCCACCGGATACGTATGAAAGTCATCAATCAGATCTCTAGGATGTGTCGCACGGATGAATAAGTTCACACTATTCTTGCTCCTTCGTCATCGACAACGGGAGGGAAGCTGGCATGATCCCACCATCATTAAGAGTGGCGTCCTAAGGGACAGGGTTTGGTAGGAGATTGCCTTAAGGCCCAAGATTGAACATTCCAATCCGTGACGGGCCCCTGGGGGGAGCGAGGGTCTCGATTTGGGAGGTGAGATTGAAGGGAAGGCTGGCAAAGTGAGCGAAGTGGCGGTCTCGGCTGTCCCGGAGACGCTTCCTTCGGGGTCGGGGCGCTTACCGGTTCCTTCATCAGACTGGTCGCCTTGCCCGCCTGTTGATGGGCCAGGGTTCCTGCCCTGGCATGGGCCTGGGCGGTGGTTTGGCGCCGTTGCTGTTGTTATATTACTGCCACTTCTTGCGTGGTGGGTGATTCGTGCCGAGCGCCTGTGGGCATTGAACTTTCGCTCGTGTGGCTGGTCTTGCGCAATTGGCGCGCTTTCTTTGTCGCCATTCGTGGCATCACGTCGGACGGCGTGGTTCACATCATGGAGTGGCGATTGCAATGGCTGGAAACTCAAAAAAGGTAAAAACGAGCCGCACCTTGTTTTGTCTTGTTTGGAGCTCCCATCCTGTGTTCCTTACGCATGAGCTGAAGAGGATAACACAAGGACTGGGTTATGCATTGGTCATGTCCCTAGCATTGATAAGTGGCGGTTCACGGTTGCTGTGGATGCATGAACTTCCATTCTTTTCCGAGACTCATGTCATCCCTCCGGACGGCGTTGCTCCTTGGCGTGCGAACTTCATTCTAGCTGATTGTGTTCTGCTTCACTTCACTCTTCTTAGAGCTCGCCATGAGAAGACGAGGTCACCGTTTGGAATAATTGCTTGAATACCCTCGGCCGTTGCTGTTGCACAAGCTGGCTGTCTACTAGATTACTCATGATCCACGGCCGGTAAAGTCGCCTTGTGTCTATGCCATGGCGCAAGTGTCAGGGTTTTAATCAGCAACCCTGTAAGCCCTATATGAGGTCACTTCTGTCATGGAGTTTTTTCCTCGCTAAGACAGTTCCGTGCGTCAAACGAGGAGACGGTCCGGGGTTGCCGATGGAAACGATGTCTCTGGACTTCTTCCCCCGTTCTACGCTGTCGCCGGCGGACCATGACCCACCGCTTCCTTTCGGGTCGTGAGCAGGGCTCGGCGAGACCATTTAGAGAGCGTGTGCCATGCTGTCCGTTCGTGTATCCATGGGCGAGACCGGGAGGGCACAGGACAGTTTGGGGAACGGGCCGCGTTTGAGGTACAATGCACCCGCGCCACGCGCGCGTTCGGGAAAGCTATTTATATGGACACCGTCTCACTTGCTGTGGCAGTGCAAACGGACTATTGACGTGGAAAGAGAAAGAATGCGCGCCCTCGTGGCTGAGAGCGTCGTGGTGTCGGAAATGTGAGCGGACGTTGTAGGGCAAAATCGAGCTATTTTGGGCACCCGTGAGCTCGTATGCATCATCCAGAAACTGGTTCGAGTGCTGTGAGCTGTAGAGCCACGAGCGGTGAGCGAGGACGACTGATGGGGAACTTCGGATCGTGCATGGTGCGCTACACGATTCAAGGGGAAAGAGGTCGGAGCTTTGGGGAGGGAGCCGCGTAAACATGCGCCACTCTGTCGAGGTGATTTGTGACCTGTATCAAGATATGCTAAGCACATGCACGTGCTTTCCGTGCACGTAGCACGGTCGCTGCGTTTGAGTGCGTTAGCGTTATTGCAATACTTCGATAGGCCGGCCGTTGGAGACAGCATTCTGGGGAGACTGCCAAGATACGGCGGCCTACATGTTTGTTATGGAACCCAGCTTTTGGGCGTAGACAGCTAAACCCAACGCTCTTCCATCGCATAGCGTAAGTCACCACCAAGCGCAGAGGCCGTGTTGACCATGCCGACACACACTCACTTCGCTAGCTAAGGACATGGGTCGTGCGACAAGGCCAATGAGTGAGTGAGAGCATGTTCAAGACCGATAAATGGCATTGACGAAGCAGATGCATGGCTTTTGACGGCCTACTGGGAGCCGAGCTCGCTAATCTGCCGGTGCCGATGACGCAAGTGCAGTAAATCAAACGGAGAACTGGCCACGGAACAGGTAGCCCAAGGCTGGGAATCTGATACTGCGAGTACACATGTGGAGTTCGGTAGGGCGGGCGGTTCGAAGTCTACAACTCTTCTTGAGATGGATCCATGAACGGCGTTCAAATTCTTTGTTTGGCAGCCGGCAGCGTACTGTCGTGCGCTTGCCGTGGACTGCACCAAGTCGCGCGGCTTTGGCCGGCGTCGTCCAGACAAAGAACCAGTAACGTAAGCGTTGCAACGGAGATGAGTGAGTGAAGCACAGCTGTGAAAGGGCAAAGCGTCAAGACCCTGTGCGGCCGATGCGTTGCACGCCCTTCGCAGAGCGACCATGCAGCGCGCAGTAAGGGCAGCGGCGGCAGCGGCGGCAGCGCGCAGTTCGTGCAGCCAGCTGCGTCGCGTTACGCAGCAGTGCGGCACAAAAGACACGACCAACGGCGGAGAGACGGCAGAGACGGCAGAGATGGCAGAGATGGGAGCGATGGGCGGCGGCGTCGGCAGCTCAGGCGGTTGCTGTTTCGGCCCCGGCGCACGGGCCTCGGGCTGAGGTGACAAAGCCAGGTGCCAGCCTTTTGCCGGCCATTCAATAAGCAGCTGCCACCACTCCGCCTGCGACTCATCTTCATCCTCAACCACCACCCCGCCTCCTTTCCGCCATCCCCCTCGCCATCGTCCTTGTATCGCGCCCGCGACACCACAGAAGCGTCTCCCGGCCCCGTCGCATCGCCTGCTGGCTGCTGCTCGTCGCTCGCGTGACCGCCGGCCGCTCGCTCCGACAGAGCCTCGGCTCTCCGCTGCGTGCTCGTATCGCCACGCCGCCGTCCAACACAGGTGAGGTAACTTGGGTCGCTGTGAGGGCTACCTAGGGAGAGAAGTTCGTCTGGAGAACTTGCGCATGCAGGGTGGATTCTGGGCTTGAAGTTCTGGTCTTCAGTTCTTACTCCGCATCCGGGGCTGACACGCGCCTGCGAAACGGTGCTCTTCTCACTTTGTGTACAATTCTCATTACTTCTGCCTTTTTACCAACTAGCTGCTGCTCTGAAGCTCAGCCATTCACAATTCAAAATACGGATTTGCCTCTGGGAAACCGATCAGAAGCCTTTGCACAGAGTTCACCGTCGCACTCCCTGCCTTTGACACCTCTGCGTCACCACACAGGATCCCACGCGAGCTGCAATCGCCAACCTCTCCATCACCTTTTCGATAACTCTTCTCGCCATGTCTTCGTCTGTCTTCTTCAAGTTCAAGTCGTCCAAGGAGCCGCAGCGCATCACCTTCGACGGCACCGGCATCTCCGTCTTCGAGCTGAAGCGCGAGATCATCACCGCTACCGGCTTGGGCGACGGCACCGACTTTGACCTGTCCATCTACACCGACGATAGCAATGAAGGTCAGTATGCCCGGCCCCATGCCTGAAAAGACCCCCGCTAATGGTCAAAGAATATGATGACGACACCACCATCGTGCCGCGTTCGACGACTGTGCTCGCTCGCCGCCTCCCTGCCGCAAGACCCGGCCATGGACGGGCCGCCCGCTACGTCTCTGGCAAAGCCCCCGTCACCGCCAAGAATTCCTACCGCACCGAGTCCTCGACCACGAAGCCTGCGATCCAGGCCAAGCCTGCGACCGATGGTGCCGCTGCCATGAGCAGCGCCCAGACCGAAGAGGAGAGGATTGCGGCCATGTTTGCTGCCGGCGCCGAGAATTGGGAACAGCAAAAGGCCAAGATGGCTGAGTATGTCCACTCGTTAGCATCGCGTGAGAAAAGCCTACTGACGAATGCAACAGCGCCAAGCCTGTCTACCGCCCCGGACGCAGGCCCCACAACGTCCCTGAGGGCGAACCGCCGGACACGTACATCTGCCACCGTTGCCATGTGAAGGGTAAGTCATGACATGTTCCTTGCTGATGAAGCAAATGACTGACATCCGAGAAGGCCACTGGATCCAAGCTTGTCCGACGAATGATGACCCGAACTTCGAGAATAAGCCTCGCATCAAGCGCACGACGGGTATTCCGCGTTCTATGCTGCAGACAATCGAGAAGCCTGTGGCACTCACCAACGACGGCCTCACCGATGACTCTCGTCAGCCGTCTGGAGTCATGGTCAACGCTGCGGGCGAGTATGTCATAGCTAAGCCTGATGAGGCTTCTTGGAACAAGTTCCAGGCCAAGGCCCAGGCTTCCGCCGCACAACAAGAAGTCGCCTCTGCTGGGAGCAAAGAACTTCGCGACCGTGGACTAGAGTGCTCAATTGACAAGCGCATGCTTGTGGATCCAATGAAGACGCCTTGCTGTGGAATGACATACTGCAATGACTGTATCGAGAATGCACTTATCAACAGTGATTTCGTATGTCCAAATTGCTCCAAGGAGGGTGTGCTCATCGACGACTTGGTCGCGGACGAGGACACAATCGCCAAGATTAAGGAATTCGAGGACGACAAGCGGAAGGCCAAGGAAGCTTCCAAGAGCCCCAAACCTGAGAAAGCAGAAATGGCCAACGGCACGGAAGACAAGAAGGACGACAGCACCAAGTCGCCCGAGGTCAAGGATGCCAAGCCTGCCTCCCCATCGGCGGCCAAGCCTGGATCTGATGCTCCAATCTCGGCCCCCGCAGGACCTGCTGCTGCCAATGGTGTTTCGAAGAAGCGGCCTGCTGATGAGGAGCTCAAGAGTGATCGCATCCCCACTGCTCCGGCTGCCATGCGTAAACAGCAAGAGCAGATGAAGGTGACGGCTCCAAGCAACTCGGATCAAGCGTTTGTGAACCAGATGAATGCGTTGGCTGGTGGCGGCGGTGGTGGCGCCGGCGCCGGCGGTGGCTCCATGATGAGCCAGCAGTTCGGCAACGGTAACTACATGCCTTTCAGCGCCATGGGTGGTATGGGAGGGTTCCCGAATCAAAACGGGATGATGGGCATGGGCATGAGCATGGGCCCGATGATGGGAATGCCTCAGGCCATGATGAATCCCATGATGATGCAGAGCGGTGGATGGGGAAACATGGGAGCGATGGGATACCAGCAAAATGGCATGTACGGCAACAGCTACAACGGCATGGGTGGTGGTGTTGGTCAGAACTGGCAGGGAAACCAGGGCTGGGGTATGAACGGCATGGGACAGGGCCAGATGCAGAATGGCAAGAGTGGTGTCTTCCCCAATCAGCAGAGGACGGTTTTCAGCGAGCCATTCCCAAATGAAGAGGACAACGCCTACTTCAGGAAGCCGGTGAACCCGCACCGGCACCAAAACCGCAACCGCAGGAACAGGGCTCCTGACTACACGCAGTTATGATCATGTGCGATCGACCACCTTTCCTTTCTCCAACACTTCCTTTCGCTCAGAATTTCTTTCATCACAGTCGATGGGCATGGGCTCCACGGAGTTCACCTGCACGACATCAGAGCGCGGCATTGCAGAGGCGCCGGGTTGAAGGCGGAACCAGCTCCATGAGCTTGGGTCAGACTGGGCGGCATCTTCGGTTAAGTGGCGTTTACGGCTAGGTTATGGGAAGGGGGGTTTTCTGGGTAATTGTTTGTTTGTTCATGGGCGGCATGATACCTTGAGCGCCGCGGCTATTGCAAAGAGCTTTGGACGGGACGACGTCCAGGCAAATATCGACTTGCTAGATCTTGCAGAGCATATCATTCAACCTCATTCTTTTGACAGAGAACGTGACACGATCTGACTTGGGCAGATGCTTGGCATGGCATGGTGCATTCCCAAGAAGCGGTTGAACCCACGTCATTTGACCGGGGAACGAGCCACTATCTCTCGGTCCCAAACAACCGACGCTGACCATCCTGCACAGCTATCAAAGCCGGGGGATCGACGAGGCGGGACGGCGAGGCAGGAATGGCCAGCTAGCTGCTTGGGTGGGAAACTGCGGACTGCACTCGGGCGGGCTGCTGCTGCTGCTCGAGCTTAACGCGCCGTGTCACACTGCCCTAGGTCGGCAGCACCAAGGACGCACTAGAAAAGCGAGCGCAGGCGCACGGTGGTGTCCAGAGCGCGGCCACGGTGTTGACGGAGCGGCGCTGCTTCTGCGCAACTGGTGCGGCTGCCCTGCCGGGGATGTGGGGCAGGAAGGCGGAAGGCAGAAACCCGCAGAGGCGGTCGGCGATTCGATGCGCCGCCCGCCTTGTGGACAGAAGTCCAACTCCACCCGGTCAAGAAGTGCGCGCAAGCCGTTTGGGGCCGACTCTCTCCCTTGTCCTATCGCCATCGTCAAGAACGCGACTGCAGAAGCTCCAGGCCCATCGCGTGGCACGCATTCCAAGAGCCGCCTGTCCCTGGCCAAATCCCAGCTCCGTCCAGGATTACGTCGCATCAAGAGCCTCCGGCCACTTAGCCTCCTCCTCACCACCGTCCACCCTACCACACAACCCTCACCATGGACTACCAGGGCGCCCCGGCCGCCCATAAGAAGAAGCGTGCCTATGCCGCCCAGGCATACGACTTTGGTGCAAATGCCGCCGGTCAAGGCCCTGCGCCGCCCGTGGGCGCACCGCAGCTTGACCCGCTGGCAGGTCAATTCGGTCAGATGAATCTGGGCGGCCAGCCTCAGCAACCCATGATGCAGCAGCCCATGCAGCCCATGCAGCCCATGCAGCAGATGCCGCCGCAGATGCCGCCCCAGCAGACCACGCTGAACCAGCTTGTCACCACCGACCTCATGAGCGCTCCGTTCAACGTCTACGAGCTCGACCAGCCCCCGCCACCGATCAACCTCCCGCCTAACGTAAGTTGCCTCCGCCACCTCCATCTGGTGCGCGCGCCACTGACTCTTCCTAGACCAGCGTTACGCCCTCCGAGTTCGCCAATTGCCCCCCGAAGTACGTTCGGTCGACCTTGAACACGATCCCCACCACGCACTCGCTACTGAAGAAGTCTCGCCTACCGCTGGCCCTTGTCATCCAGCCCTACGCCGCCCTACATGATGCCGAGGACCCGGTTCCCGTGGTTCCCGATCAGGTCATTTCGAGATGTCGGAGGTGCCGTTCGTACATCAACCCGTTTGCGACCTTCCTCGACCACGGCCACCGCTGGCGTTGCAACATGTGCAACCTCACCAACGATGTTCCTCAGGCTTTCGATTGGGATGCGGCGACCCAGCAGAGTGTGGACAGGTGGTTAAGACCCGAGCTGAACTATTCGGTTGTCGAGTTCGTGGCCCCCCAGGAATACATGGTCCGGCCCCCGCAGCCGCTGGTCTACTTGTTCCTCTTTGATGTCAGCTACGCGGCCGTCACCAACGGCCTGCTGGCGACGGCTGCCAGGTGCATTCTCGAGAGCCTGGACAGAATCCCGAATGCAGACAGGAGGACGAGGCTTGGCTTCATGGCTGTGGATTCTGGCCTTCACTACTTCTCCATTCCCCGTGATGGAGGCGAAAGCAGCGACCCTAGGATGCTTGTCGTCAGTGACCTCGACGAGCCTTTCCTTCCCACTCCTGAAGACCTACTGGTGAACCTTGCCGAGTGTCGCGCCAACATCGAGACCTTCCTTGGTAAGCTCCAGTCCATGTTCCAAGATACCCAGAATGGGGCTTCTGCCATGGGATCGGCTTTGCGCGCCGGTCACAAGCTCATCTCGCCTGTTGGTGGAAAAATCTGCGTCCTCACCGCATCCCTACCAAACATCGGGTACGGTAAACTGGACATGCGTGAGGACAAAAAGGTCCTCGGTACCAGCGGCGAGGGCAAGCTTTTGCAGACTGCCAATAGCTTCTACAAGTCCTTTGCCGTGGAGTGCTCCAAGAATCAGGTTTCGATCGACATGGTAAGTGAAGTGATGTTTTGCGTAGGGTGCTTTAGATGCTAACGTCAACGTTTCCCAGTTCCTTTTCTCGTCTCAGTACCAAGATGTAGCCACACTATCGAATTTGCCGAGATACACCGGAGGCCAGACCTGGTTCTACCCCGGGTGGAATGCGGCAAGGAGCGAGGACGCGATCAAGTTCGCCCGTGAGTTCAGCGACTATCTCTCGTCCGAGATTGGCCTGGAGGCTGTTCTGCGCGTGCGTGCTACTACCGGTCTGCGTATGAGCACATTCTACGGCAACTTTTTCAACCGCAGCTCCGATCTTTGCGCGTTCCCTGCGTTTCCTCGTGACCAAGCCTACGTGGTGGAGGTCGCTATCGACGAGACTTTGACGAAGCCCTTTGTTTGCATGCAGACTGCTGTACTCCACACCACCTGCAACGGTGAGCGGAGGATAAGAGTCTTGACTCTCGCAATCCCAACCACGGACAACCTTGCCAGCGTCTATTCCTCGGCTGATGCGCAGGCGATCACTGCCTACTTCAGCCACAAGGCTGTGGAAAGGGCCCTGGGTAGTGGGCTGGATGCTGCTAGGGATGCGCTTCAGAGCAAGGTTATTGAGATTCTCCAAACGTACAAGAAAGAGCTGGCAGGAGGCAGCATCGGCGGCGGTCTCCAATTGCCCGCCAACCTTCGGGCGCTGCCCGTTCTCTTCCTTGGGCTCATCAAGAATGTCGGTTACCATTATCATCTTACTATCATCTCGGACAATATGCTAACATGCACCAGGTCGGCCTGCGGAGATCGGCGCAAATACCCTCGGATCTTCGTGCCGCAGCTCTCTGCCTGCTCTCGACCCTGCCACTTCCACTGATGATCCAGTACATCTACCCGCGCTTCTACTCTCTGCACGACATGCCCGACGATGCTGGCGTTCCGCACCCGGAGACGGGCGAAATTCTGCTGCCGCCCCCGTTGAACCTGTCTTCGGAGAGGATAGTGTCGTATGGGCTGTACCTGATTGATGACGGGGTCAACCAGTTCATCTGGATTGGCCGTGATTCGGTGCCTCAATTGCTTATCGACGTGTTCGGGGTTGAAGACAAGAACGGCATCAAGCAGGGCAAGTCCAGCATGCCCATTCTGGACAATGAAATGAACGAGCGGGTTCGGGCGGTCGTGGACAAGAGCAAGGATCACAGGATGAAGGGGGTGGGCAGCATCACAGTGCCGACGTTGTACATCATCAGGGAGGACGGCGACCCGAGCCTGAAGCTGTGGGCGCAGACGCTGCTAGTGGAGGACCGGGCAGACCAGGGTGTCAGCTTGCAACAATGGCTGGGCATGCTCAGGGAGAAGGTGAGTCCTCCAGCGCCCCCCTTGATCCTCTCGACGTGGCCGGACTAACGCTTTGGCAGGTGGTGCAGTAGAGCGGGTAATGCAGGATGGGAAAAAGGGAGTGTTTTCACGCGAGAAGAGGGCGCATTGCGCGGGGCGGTGAGCGACGGCCCTGTTCCTTTTCACGTAGCACAGCGTTGTTCGAAACTTGAAATAAATGCCCTTGACGAGTCTCCTTGCGACGCATCTGGCAGCAGGTGTCTTTTCTCGAAACATGCAGCGAGCCGTGCGGGCGCGGGCGCAGGCGCGGGCGGGGCGGGGGGCGGGCGGGCAGGCGGGCAGGCGGGCAGACGGGCAGGCGGGCAGGCGGGCAGGCAGGCAGGCGGGCGGGCAGGCAGGCAGGCAGCTGCGGGGTGATGTTATTAGAAGGGGCAGCAGATCGCCGTGGTGTTGGATGGGCGCAGACGCAGGTGCGGTGCAGGTGCGGTGCAGGCCAGAGGTCAGCAGCGGCCAGCGGCCAGCGAGCAGCGGCCAGCGGGCAGAGCTACCGGGGCGGCGAGTCAGCGCGGGCAGGCGTTGGGTAATCTTTATGAGGTCGCGTATCGCAGCCGGTGGTTGCTAGGCGAGGCACAGAGGCGCCCTTGCATATTGGTTCCTGGGCCAATGGCGCCGGGTAGAGGGATTCGTCGATGCTGCCGACTCACCGTGTTTCGCAGCCGGGCCCCACCGGTCTGCCACGCCGTGGGCACCCGCGGCGCAGCGCACCAGCCAGTTCCCAGCCAGTGGCTGCAGGGCGCTGGCCGGGTTTCACATGCCAGGCGGAGTCGCAGCGCGGCGAGTGGAGGCGCGCGGCAGGCCTCGTCGCGGCGCTCGCATCAGCTGGCAGCGTGCGGCCGGCTGCCCTGGGGCCAGGCCGGGGGCTGGCCATTGAGGCTCGTGGGCGCGCGGCCGGGCGGCTGGCGTCACGGCGTGGTGGAGAGGGCGGCAGGGTTGATGCTAACGCCACGGCTGCATTTCTCAGCGTGGAGCAGGCCGCTCCCAGCATCTCCCAGCAGCGGTGCCTGCTCGCCACGCCGGGCGCTCTGCTGCGTAGCCGCTAGTAGATCTGCTAAAACGGCTCGTGCTAGGAGCGCCCCAACCAGCCCCTCTCCGTCTGGCGGCGGACGTAACCCCTCGCTGCATGCATGGCCGAATCGCTGACTAGCCCGACGCGCAGCCTGTGCCGTACTCCAGCCCTCGCCCTGGCCTGACAGCTGCTGCTTTGCCGCCTCTGCCTGCCTTCTGATCTCATCACCACCTCCGCCCACGGCCACCGCGCGCACCCTCCGCGCCCGCCAGCACGCCTCAGAGCCGCACCGCAGCCGCCCTGCCCGTGCGCATCACGCCTCCCGATCCTCGCTGGTGGCGGGGATCTTTTCAACCGCCGCCGCGATAAGGCGTCACAACCCCCGCCCACGCCTGCACATGCCATGATACACGCCTGAGAGCGACACCAGCCTCGACACTCCTCTGCCAACGCGCTCCGCTGCGCGTGCGACCCTGGGCCGGATGCCGATGCGACCAGCGCCTGTACAGACTCGCTACCGCATCCGCACGCCCTCGATCCTGCCCACGCCGCGAACCGCCGTCTCGTGGCCCGCCGACGACGACCTGCAAGCGCTTCCGAACACACCAGACATTTCCGGCCGCCTGGCCTCCGGGCGGTGATCCTCAGTCTTCTCGTGTCACCGAAGGAAGCAAGTAAGACTTGGCGTTTCACCGTCAGCTCCCAGCTTCCGGCCGCAGCGCGGTAATAATAGCCTCGCACCCCGCAGCCAGCATCCACTTGGACGATGTCTGGCTTTCGCGCCGTCAACACCACCCTGTCCGTCCCGGAGCCGCCGCCTGGCCACTCGGGCGAGGAGACGACCCCGACCACGCCGCGCCCCAACAAGCTCTTCGGCGCCGACCAGCACCTCCACCACCCCCACGACCAGCGTCACATCGACGAGCAGTCGGCCAAGACACCCACTCGAGACAGTTTTGGAGGATTGGCCGGCCAGCGCCCGCTGCCCGCAGACCTGTCGCCCGCCGCTCCCGAGTCGAAGAAGCAGGCCCGCAACAGCACCCTGCGCCGCGGCAACTCTGAAAACTCCACCCGCTCCGGCGACAACCAGGATGTGGTGATGGACGACGAGGACGGCCACGCCGCCTCCGAGAACGAGAGCGTCAACAGCGACAACCGGCCGACCAAGAAGAAGAAGGGCCAGCGCTTCTTCTGCACCGACTTTCCTCCCTGTCAGCTGAGTTTTACCAGAAGCGAACATCTTGCAAGGCACATCAGGTTCGTCGCACACGCCACACACCCTCAGCCGCGCGTCACTGACCAGACTACAGAAAGCACACGGGCGAGCGGCCGTTCCAGTGCCACTGCAACCGCCGCTTTTCGCGCTTGGACAATCTCCGTCAGCATGCCCAGACTGTCCATGTAAACGAGGACATTCCCGGCGATTCTCTGGCGGCAACCGGCACGAGATTCCAGCGTCAGATCCGAACGGACCGTGTTCGCCCTCCCAACGGCCGCTCTCGCGCCTCAACCATCAGTAGTGGTGGAGGTGCGCACAGCAGAGGTCATAGCCGGAACCTGTCGGCTTCTAGTATTGCTTCGACGAGTTCAAATACGAGCGATCGTGATGACGCCCGCCGGCGGCCCGCTCCACTTGCCATGGCTGGTGATGGAGCTGCGCGAGCACGGTTGACGCTGGACACATATAACCCTGGTGGTCAGTATTCCACCCTCGGCAGCCAGTCACCAAGTGGATTCAGTACGCCAACATCAACAACGTTTTCACCCGCAACAGGTAGCCCAGGTCCTCGATATCCATCCGGCATGGACTCGCCCGTATCGACCGCGCAGAGGCCCGTCACGTGGGCCGGCCACGTCCCCGGACGCCGCCTTTCCGTCCCTTCGAACAGCGGAAACCCGTTCCAAGGGCCTCCCGGCACGAACTACCCGCCTCCCTACATCAGCCCGTTGACATCGTCCACGCCCTCCAACTACTCCAATGCCGGGAGCTTCCTCAACAGTCCTACTGGGTCAACTTTCTCCAGCGATTCCCGGCGCGAGTCTGTCAGCTCTGATGCTGATTGGCGCAGGAGAACATGGCACCCTGGGACATACTCGGCCCTGACTCCCAGACCGGCCACGAGTGGTTTGAGTTACTACCAGACTCCCGATGCCCCGCAGCCGTCGTTCTCGTCTCAGCCAGCCGCCAACCAGCCCGCCTCAAGCCAAGTCACTCGTCTCCCGGGAATAGAGTCGTTCGACCATGCACCGCCGCCGCCGTCTCTGGCTACCCAACATCCATCGAGTCCGATGCAGGTCGACCATCCGAATCGGCCGGCGGCAATGGAGCCGTCGACGCCGAACGTTCGCGAGCACAGGGGTCATCACCACCACCACAACTCGCTTGACCTTTCGTTGCAAAGAGGAATTCACAAGCTGGACATTACAAACTCAACACCTCCGCGGGAGCCGGCGTCGTGGTTTAGTTTTGGAAGCAGTAGAGACCAAGGGCAATCCCAAAGACCGACAACCGCTCCGCATCCAAGCTTCTCGGTGAACCGCGCTGCTCCTCCACCTCCCCTCACTCACCTGAGTCGGCCTTCTACGGGGGGCGAGTCAAGTCAGAGCTCGCAGGATCCCGCGCAACCGACAACACCGCGCAAGAACAAACGACAGGGATGGTACATGGGACCACTTCAGCATGCCCCCCAACATCAGCAGCAAATGCAGCAACACGCGTACAGGAACCAAAGGACTTCTCCGGAGGATTCCAGCAGCAGCGAGGGTGTGCCCACACCGTCGACGTCATCACTCGGGGAGTATTACCCGGTGATTGTGCAGAACAATGGAGGAAATGTGGAGGAGCGACCATCCAGCATGCATATGGAGGACCCGGCGAAGTTCACCTTTCCCCAGCCTCCCCAAGCGGCGAATGAGCGTCCGCCGACGCACCCCGGATATCACTTTGGAACCCAGCCACCGTATGCGCACGGACAGACTGCCACGGCGTTTGGTGGACACCAGCAAAGCCAAAACGGCGCCAGCGACATGAGAAGATTAGAGGCTCTTGTGGCGGTTGCTACGGGCGAACGGCCTACAAACCGAGCCTCGTAACTCTCGTCAAAGGCTACACCATCTAGGCTCCGGACATGACGACTTCTCACAGACCGCTCTCACCCCTCGCTCCTCTCCCAAGAACGCTCGCCGAAACTCACGATCCGACATGACGTAACGAACCGTACCTTTTCACGATTTTTGTCCTGTTATGAGACGACGAAGAAATCCATCATTGGTGCGCAATGTGATACCCATGAGAGAGGATGGCTTTGTCGAATTTCTTTCCTGTTTTTTTCTTTCTGTTTTGTTCATGTCTCTATCGCTCCGTCAACTACCAGCATGCGTGTCCGAGGTTGCATTTCTTTTTGGTGGATTTCCGATTGAAGGGCTGCATCGAGGCGGCAAGTCTGCTTCAGCAAGACTTTTACACTGGGCGGATGACTGTGTCCCGATGGGCTTTGACTATTTGGGCTGTTTTGCTGCGTTCCATTATTCCATGATTTCCTCTTTCCGATTGCGATCAGTTCCCTCGTTCGTCCGCGTTCCGCAGTATCTCTTTCGTCGGGTTGGCGCAGTCGTTTTCTTTGCCACGTCCAGATCGCTTGTCTCTCCACTTCGCCTTGTCCTGGCGCTGGGACTCGTTTTTTGTTTTTTTTTTGTTTTCTCGAGACGGAAGGGTTTAATGACGGCGACTTGGCGGTCAGTCTTTTTCGCCTCTCTGCCCCGTCGGTTGACGGCGAGTTGCGATGACAGTTATTCTTCGTATACAAATGTTGACACCCCCTTTCCTCTTCTCTTTGAATATTCTCGATATAGCTTGTCGACCAGCGTGGGTGCGCGCAATGAAGGCGAAATGCATCACGTGTCAGGTACAGGGGCTCGTACGACGGGCATGACGATGCAAGTCTGTCGGTGTGTCTGTGTGTTTGATCGACGTATGACGCGCCGGCCCCGTCGTCCTAACGAGTCGACAACAACGAACCCTCCACCACAGGGCCGGGTTCTTGCGGTGAAGATCCTTCGACTGCGGCCGCCCGGCTTTTGGCGTGTTGAGGGTGGAGACGCGTGTGTCGTGTAAGATGGGCCGCCTCTCGTCGCCTCACCCTTTCTCCCCTCGTCCCCTCGCCGTCTCCCCCTCCACCCGGCCTTCGGGATCTTCGGCTGTTTGCGGCATTGAGTGTTTGCGGCGCGGGTGCCTGGCCCTGTCTCACCTCAGACGCATAATGCCTGCCCCCGCCGGAATTATGCAATGCTTACACACTCGCTGCTGCTTTCTCCGGGGACGCGCTTCTGGACTCTGGACTCACAGGGCGGACGCTCCTGTGGCTCTGAGATGAGTCTGGCTGGGCCGACTACGGCGGTTGCAGCCAGACCGTGACAGTGAGACGACCAAGCCAACGAAAACAAACAAAACAGACAGGGGCTCGCGCTCCACCTGATCGAAGATCATGATCGGCCGTTGCCTTTGCTTTCATCACATAGTCGGTGAGAGGGAGAAAGAGAAACGCGAGGCAGGAAGGAAGAGTGGTGGGCGTTTTTTTTTTTTTTTTTTTGGCACCATCAACCTGGCGGTTCCTTTCTCAAGTGGGTACCTGGTTTGCCGGGAACCCCACCGTTTTGGCGCCCATCACAGCGCATCGACAACGAACAGATGCTGTTGTTGTCCTCGTGATGCGTTTGCCCATGCTCCGCCCTCGCCTAAACCGCGAGAAGGAACGAGAAAGACCGCGACGCTTGCGAAAAACAATGGCTACCGGCCGTCTTGGCAGGTCCGCTGCCTGGCTCCGGCTCCGGCTCCGGCTCTCGGCCTCACCGACTCGTTTTCGTCGTCTGTGACGGTCGCCGTCGTTCTGCTTGCCCGGTCCCCGTGTTGCCCGTCACCTCGCGGCCGGCAGTCGCTTTTTGCAAGTCATGCATGGCGCTTGCCGGCGCAGGGTGGGGCTCCCTTTCTCCCTCCCTCCCTCTTCCCTGACGCAGATCCGGCGCACGACTCGTGTCCCTCGCTGTTTACGTGCAGGCTTGCATCATGATTCCGAGCAGGTGCCAGAAAGGAAAGAAAGGAAAGGGCAGGGGGCAGCAAGCAGGTTCGTTGGTGTTTGGACAACGCATCTGCCTACCGCCCGCGCATCATCTGCTTGGGACTGGTTCCTGTTCTAACCGCTTACGGCACCTCCCGCATTGCAAAAAACCCCCTCCCCACCCCACTCCGAAATCACGGCCATCGTCCAAGGGCAGGACCGGGAGGGTCAGACGACCAGGCCAGCGCATACACACATACACGAATCCGCTACCGTCCCCCCGGTACGGCTTGTCCACAGCCGCGGAATGCGCACCCTTTTTTCCGGGGGAGGGAAACGACGACGACGACGATGATGATGATGATGATGATGATGACGATGAGAGGAACCGTGCCGCCATAATCGTCGTCGCGGAAGAGGAGAAATAAGTGGCTCCGGGAATACCCGCGCTCCCCTCCCTCGCCAGCACGAGAGACGGAGACAACAGAGTGGTGGCAACATGTACACTTCATCCATGCAACCGACGTCGGTACGTGGTAGTGACGATGGCCGAAGAGAAGCGGTCCGGCCAGCCGACCAACCAGCCCGATGGCTCGCGATTGTGATCGCCATTCTTACTGGTAGTGAACGGTTTACGGACCGTAGAGTTACTGATATACGGCGACGCCTTGCCTATCTGGTCGAGTTTCACTTCTGGTGCCTTTCTTTTTCTATTTGCCTTTCCTCCTCCCTTTTACTTTTCAACACGGTACGTCGCGACACTTCACTTGGGGCCAACCAATCATGCTCAGCTGGTACGTATAGCCTCAAGGCCAAACACGTTGTAGTGGCAGATGGGCGCCTGTGGAAACAGCGGGTCACTCTCGAATTACATCAGTGTGGGGTCGAGATTGTGTGTGTGTGTGTCCGAAGATGCTCGTGTGTAGTGAACGACTCGTCGAGACCGACCGGACCCCTCGTTCTCCAAATTTCCCTACGCCGTGACGATCCTGATGCTCCCGAGAGTTGATCCAACGGGGCGGCGCTCGGCGGCCTGTGTGTGTGTGGCCCTCACGTCGGACCTGACACATGCTTCGCGCTAAATGAGAACTCTATCTAAACGCAAATGCGAAATGTGTGAGCAATTCAGGGGATACTGACTGGTAGAGGGAAGCCGGAGAAGAAAGACAATGCAAAAAGTAGGAGAGCGAGAGCATCTAGTGCCTCCCATCCTGGCTTAGGTTGAAGTAGACCCTGACTTATGTAATTTCTGGAGACGTGCGTGGTCACCTAATACAGCGCCATGCTCACGTTTGAGGGAACC